GGTCTAGGCCCGAAACGTCAGCCTTCCTGCTCCTCTGATGCTGCTTGACCTGCTGTGTTCATCCAGCTCTACACCTTGTTGTCTACTGTTGGAGTCACTGCGTTTATGTAGTGAATCCAGTTCAGTTTCTAGTCAATGGTAACCCAAAGGATGTTGATAATCAGGCTCCAGTGTCATTGAGTCATAGAGATGCACAGCACGGAAATGGACCCTATGGTCAAACCCATCCATGCTGACCAAATATCCTGAACTCATCTCGTCCCATTTGCCAACATTTGGCCCATATTCCTCTAAACCCTTCTTATTCACTGGGTCAAAATCCTGGAATTCGGGTCAAAATCCTGGAATTCCCTCCCTAATAGCATTGTGGGTCAACCCATAGCAGGAGGAATGCAGCAGTTCAAGAAGACAGCTCACCACCACCTTCTCAAGGGTAACTAGGGATGGGCAAGAAATGCTGGCCCAGCCAGCGACACCCACATCACAATGAATAGTAAAAAAAAATCCAGATGCCTTTCAGATGTTATAATTGTACCACTTCCTCTGCCAGCTCATTCCATACACCACCCACTGCATGAAAAAGTAGCCCCTCGGGTCCCTTTTAAATCTTTCCACTCTCACCTTAAACCTACGCCCTCTAGAGTCATAGAGGTATACAGCACGGAAACAGACGCTTCAGTCCAACTTATCCATGCCAACCAGATATCCTAAATACACCTAGTCCCATTTACCAGCATTTGGCCCATATCTCTCAAAATGCTGCCTATTCATATACCATCCAGATGCCTTTTAAATGTTGTAATTGTACCAGCCTCCACCACCTCCTCTGGAAGCTCATTCCGTACATGCACCACCCTTTGTGTGAAAAAGTTGCCCCTTAGATCCCTTTTAAATCTTTCCCTTCTCACCTCAAACCTATGCCCTCTAGTTTTGGACTCCCCCACCCCAGGGAAAAGACCTTGTCTATTTGCCCTATCTATGCACCTCATGATTTTACAAACCTCTGTAAGGTCACCCCCTCAACCTCCTATGCCCCAGGGAAAATAGCCCCAGTCTATATAGCCTCTCCCTATAGCTCAAACCCTCCAACCCTGCCAACGTTCTTGTAAATCTTTTCTGAACCCTTTCAAGTTTCACAACATCCTTTCTATAATAGGGAGACCAGAATTGCACGCAGTATTCCAATAGTGGCCTAACCAATGTCCTGTACAGCGGCAACATGACCTCTCAACTCATATACTCATCTACCCTGGGAAAAAGACCTTGGCTATTCATCCTATTCATGCCCCTCATGTGGATTATATAAATCTCTATAAGGTAACCCTTCAGCCTCGGACACTCCAGGGACATTAGCTCCAGCCTATTCAGCCTCTACTGACAGAAAAAGAGATCCTGACAGTTATCATACCCGTTGTGCTCCAATTTCATTAAATGCCCGTTGCTTATAGGCGGTGGTCAGCCCTCACCGTGCTGTCACTGTGTTTGAACTGGTAAGCTACTGAAGCTCTGTGGGACCCGTGCACTGTAACAAATCACTGAAAATAATGCTGTGAGGAGGGTTAAGGCGATGTCGACGATGAATCGGAAATGGGCATAGAGGTGGCAGTGTGTGCCAACTCAGATGCTCCACCTCCAACTCTACCAAACCCACTTACCCATATCCACATACTCCACTAAGCTCTCCACCAGGGAATGGGAATACGTAGCAGACAGAAAGTGACACTGACCAAAACAAACATTGAGAGAAACAGAGTATATATTTAACAGAGTATGGGAATAAAAGTTAGAGAGCAGGAGTAGGCCATTCAGCCCCTTGAGTCTGCTGCACAATTCAAGATGCTGGCTGATGTTATTGCCCTGTTTTTGTACTCCAATTCCTCTTACATTAAAAGACAGCATTTCACTTGCCTTTCTAGTCACATGCTGTACCTGCATTCTAACCTCTTGTGATTTCGAGTCCATAGATGTGCAGGTTTGTTTGGATTGGCCATGCTAAATTGCCCGTAGAGTTCAGGGAGGTGTAGATTAGGTGGGTTATCGGGGGATGGGTCTGGGTGGGATGCTCTGAGGTTCGGTGTGGACTTGTTGGCCCGAAGGGCCTGTTTCCACACTGTAGATGATTCTATGATTCTGTGATTTTCATGTACAAGATTGACCAAACTGATTCCTGGGATGGTAGAATTGACATTTGAAGAGAGACTGGATTGTTAGGGCTGCGGGGCAGTGGGAGTCATTGTTAGAACGTGGGGGGTTGGAACCTCATAGAAACCTATAAAATTCTAACAGGACTAGACATGGTAAATGCAAGAAGGGTGTTCCTGATGACTGGGGAGTCCAGAGCTAGGGATCACCGCCTAAAGGTACAGGATAGACCATTTCGGACGGAGATGAGATGAAATTTCTTCACCCAGAGAGTGGAATTTTCTGCCACCAAAAGCATTTGACACCCAAAATGTTGAATGTTTTCAAGAAGAGTTAGACAGAAAGCCTAGGGCTAAATTATCAAAGGGTACAGGAGAAAGTGGGAACAGGGGACTGAGTTGGATAATCAGCCATGACCACATTGAATGAGGGAGCAGGCTCGAAGAGCTGAAATGCCTACTCTTGCATTGTGTTTTTATTTATTCATGGGGTGAGGGTGTTGCTGGCTAGGCTGCATTTATTCCCCAACCCTAATTTCAATGTTCCTATGTATTAGAACATCCAGATTTCTATGTACCTGAAGAGTTTCTCTTCCAAAATATATACTTTATTCATTACATTTGTAAAAATACATTAGAAAACATTTCAACTTGAATTTCACAGAACTTGCAATAAAATTTAACTTGTCTCCATACAACATGACCCACTCAACACAATTGGAATAGCCTTCATGATGACACAATACATCAGGTATATAGGCCAAGGAAAACTGGAAATCATAGAGGCTACAATTGATATAACATATTTTCTACACATTCCATCTTTAGCTGTCTCAATACGTTTGTAATAAAACCTGTTTTTCCAAAACATATATACTTTATTTATCAATTTGCATAATGCATTACAAAACATTTGGACTTGAACTTGAAATAAAATTCAATTTGTCCCCACATACATGTTCCACTGAACATTTTTACAAGTTTGCTATGAGTTTTTTTGGAGGGTGCTTCGCCTTGATGCCAAGTGGCCACATAGCTGGCAGGACCAACACTCCCTCCTACACCTTGTCGCTGTTTAAACATCACCCCACACTCTCCATCTGTCCATAGCTCCAACCTGTCTGAGCACCGTCTATGTCAGAGCCACCCTGTCCCCAGTGCTCACTGTAGGCCTGTGGCTTGTCACTGTCCAGTAGGGGAGTGTCACGTACAGGTAAACAAATCAGACAAGGCCAAACGTGGGCTTGTATTTACAACCTGTAAACAAAACCAACAGAGGCTGAATTTCAGCCCCACTGTGTAAAACCAGATTTTGACATCATGGCCCAAGACCCCTACCCCCACCCTTAGCAAGACTGGTCCAAGCATCAGAACCACATCTTCAGCAGGCCTATCGTCTGCTCCACCAGGGCCAAACAAAGGACAGCCATTATATCTGTGCTCCACATCAGTTATGGGGTTCATACCATAAAGACCAGAAGAAACAGAAGCAGGAGTAGGTCATTCGGCCCCTTGAGCCCACTCCACCATTCAAGGCTGATCTGACATTCCTCACATCCACTTTCCTGTCCTTTCCCTGTGACCCTTGATTCTACTCCTCATCAATAATCTATCTCAGCCTTAAGAATGTGCAAGGACTATGTCCCCACAGCTCTCTGTGGCAAAGACTCTCAACCCTCAGAAAAGAAATTCTTCCTCATCTCAGTCTAAAATTGGCACCTCTTTATTCTGAGACTATGCCCTCTGGCCCTAGACTCTCCCGTGAGTGGAAACATCCCCGCAGCAATTACTCTGTCAAGCCCTGAAGAATCCTATATGTTTCATTGAGATCACCTCTGATTCTTCTAAACTCCAGTGAGCAGAGTCCCAAATCTGTATATTCTTTGCTTATGAGACAATTCTCCAATCACAAGGATCATCCTAGTTGAACATTTTTTGAACTGCCTCCAATGAAATGATACCTTTTCTCAAAATAAAGGAGACCAAAACTGCTCACAGTACTCCAGATGGTTATGGGATTTCCCTGCTCTTAAACTCCTACTCCCTTGAAATAAGGGCCAATATTCCATTAGCCTTCCTGATTCCTTCCAGGTTGCTCAATGATGTCATGAGCCACACTCACAATGGATAGCCCTTGACCCCAGGTAACTAGGCTTGTAATGCGCCTGGAATCTCAAACGCAGCAGGTACATGAGAGTGTCCTAGGATGTAGGAAAGCTGGTAGCTGCCAAAGTAGTGGGCACATATCTCCCGAAGTGGTAACAGTGACCACAGATCACCTAGACATTAATGGAGTGGAAGGGACCCCTACCTGTGGATAAATTCAACAGTGTTGCTTTCTCAATGCCATGTGTGTGTAGTGAAAGCACTCTGCACCTGGGGGAACTCAGTTGTGTTCCTGGGCTGCAGCACTGACCAGGTTATGTTTTGGGGGGGGGGGGGGGCATTGGTCACTGCACTGATGTATTTGTGGGCACACGACTCAGAAATACCACACCTGTCCCCTTCGTCCCTTTGCAAGGAGGCAGTCACAGAGAGGTTCAGCGTGGCTACCACCTTCAATAGCCCTTTTCTATCACCCAAACCCCTGCCCCTCCACACCCCGATGTCAGTGAAGCTGAGCTCAGGGGCTCTGCTCATGTCCCACAGCACCTCTGCAGCCCTGTGCACTCCTGACTCACTTTGAGAGATCTGAGATTCCTGGACAGCATCTTTCCCTTGCTCTGCAGAGAGAGATAAAAGGAGAGAGTTACGAATCTGAACAACACATTGGAGGGATGATCACAACTTCCAGTGAGGTGAAGGTGAGGCAAGGCAGCCATACAGCTGAGCTCTGTCTTTGGGCAATGACATCTCTTACTGATTTCTGCCAGGGACAGAAGCTCCCTCTGGCCTGCAACATGGTGTCTCGTGATACCGGGGGTAATTGCATTGGTATCCTTCCATGCGGAGCTCCTGTCTCTGATGGTATACACTCTGTCAATGTTCGTGTCCACAGGAGCCAATGGAGTAGTGTCGATTGTCCACATAACCATTCAACAGTAACACAGACACAGAGTGAGGGGGGGCAGGGCCATCAGAAATATAGAGGGATCCCTGGGATTGGGGAATTGTCTCATAAGGGAGGCAAAGGAGAGAGAGAGGGGAAAAAATCTGAAAAACCAACAGGAAACATAGCAGCAAAAGTGAGAAAGAAAGAGACCCTGACAGAAACAGAGAAAGAGAGAGAGAGTAACAGAGAGAGAGAGAGAGAGAGAGAGAGAGAGAGAGAGAGAGAGAGAGAGTGGGAGAGAGAGAGGGTTCAAGTCCCATCTGCTCCAGAAGTGTGTAATGACATCCCTGAACAGGTTGATTCAGAAAATATCTATCCAAAACCAGGGATGCTGGAAGGGCAGATGTCTGTTATTTCCACAGACGCCCAGGGCACAGTCCTTTGAAGTTCTCAAGCAGAGTCACATTCCATTCAAAGCATTAATTCAGATCCTCTCACCCCAGACAGCGATTGATGTGCTGAACCTTTCTGCTCTTATTCCAAGCTGGAAACCCTGCCTCTATAAAAGGACAAATTGAGCAGGATTCCAAATCAGGGCCAGCTCAGGATTGAGTCTCACCTGCAGCATTAGCATCGTCCTTCTCCTGAGGCATCAGTAACTGGATCCCTTTTGCCAGTGTGAACCGGAGGGTCGGGAACTCCTCTGGAAAACAGATGAGCCAACAGTGACACAAAATGATAACACGGTCGCTAGTACCATCTCACAGTAGGGCAATTCACACTAGACTAAGAATCGTGAACAAGTGCTGACTCTGTCAGTCTGCACATACATGATATTACCGCATGCTCAAGGCCCAGACAATGGTATGTCCACATCAGAGTATATCTCCCTCAACACCATCTCCTTCCCTCCCACTCCCACTGGGGACAAGGGAAACCAATCAGGTGTCCTGTGCTCCCAGCCTCCAGGTACATAATTCTTTGAAGTTCACATCATATATAGACAGGGTGGTTAAGAAGGTGTTTAGCATGCTTGCCTTCATTGCTCAGACCTTTGAGAATAGGAGTTGGGACTTCATGTTGAGATCATACAGAACGTTGGTGAGGCCCCTCTGGAGAACTGTGTCCAGTACTGGTCGCTCAGTTATCGGAAGGATATTAACAAGCTGGACAAGGTTCGGAAGAGATTTACCAGGATGTTGCCAGGAATGTAGGGTTTGAGTTATAAGGAGAGTCTGGATAGGCTGGGACTTTATTCACTGGAGCGTAGCAGGTTGACGGGCGACCATATAGAGGTTTGTAAAATCATGAGGGGCATAGATAAGGTGAATGGCAGGTGTCTTTTCCCTAGGGTGGGGGATTTCAAGACTAGCGGCATACTTTTAAAGTGAGAAGAGAGAGATTTAAAAAAGAGATGGGGACAATTTTTTTCACACAAAGGGTAGTTTTTGTGTGGAATGAACTTTCAGAGAAAGTGGTGGAATTGGGTACAGTTACAATGTTTAAAAGACATTTAGATAAGTACATGTATAAGAAATGTTTGGAGGGATATGGGCCATGCATAGGCAGGTGGGACTAGATTAGTTTGGGATTATGGACTATTTAGATCAAAGGGTCTGTCTCAATGCTGTGTGACTCTATGACTCTAAAAGATTCATCCTCCACCATTGCCACCAGCTCCACCATGATGTCGCCACCAAATACATACTCCCTTGCTTTGCCTCCTCCCAGCATTCCAATGGGAATGCTCCCTCCATGACATCCTGATCCACTCCTCCATCATCCCTTTCCCCTGCCATTCACTGTCTGGGGAGATGCAATAACTATCCTTTTGGCCCATCTCTTTGTGCTGCTCAAGGTTCAGGTGAGAATGCAGTTTACTACTGAGTGCAGACCCTCGGTGTTCTTGTTTTCTAACACTGGAGGGAGAGGCAATGTTGGCTGGGGTGACCATGCGGAACACCTCCATTCAGTTCCTAAAGCAGCACCCTGAGCTTGTCTTTGTCTTCCAACATCCTTCTCCATCTTGCTCATACTCTGACCTTCCTGTCTTCGGCCTGCCATGATGTTCCAGTGACTACTGAAGAATGTTATTGTTGCTCTTTCTCGGAGTCAGCACATCTTTAGGAGACACGCTCATGAGATCATCCATGGTTTGCAGCATGCAACTTGAAGGTAGAAAGGTCTCTGACTCCATCTTATCATGGGTTGCTCAAAGCATGACGCTGTATTGGAAGTATGCTGCTTTATGCAATGTTCCATGTTAGCCCAGACACTGATGTGTCTGAGGAATGCAATGTTCGTATATAAATCACTACTTGTAACATATGTCTGTTAGATTCTTCAATACCACGATATCCATAGTCTCCTATGCCATAACATATGGATAACAAGACATAACAAGATAACAAGCATTGCCACATCAAACAAAATACCCTGCTGGAGGTAAACCCACATCTATGAGACACTTCAGTCTTTTTAAACTCAAACCCCAGTTCAAACACTTCAGGTCAGAATCCTTGCCCCAATTCTTTGCAAAAGATGGCAATTGCTGACGGTTCTGCTATACCATTTACAACATTTCTTACATTTCTTTATTTCTGCCATTCCCATCTCCTTTTGTAGTGTGGCATCATCGGTTTTGTCCTTCATTCAGTACCAGCTCTGCCTCCCCTTTGAGACTTGTGAGAACGTGGCATATAGATGCAGCGAGCATGATGGCACAGCGGCTGTTATTGCAAGGGTAGCAGAGTGCAGAAGTAAAGGATGTACCCACAACTGTTGTACCAGCTGTTTTGTGAGAGCACATCTAGAGTGCTCTGTCGGTTCTGGCCCTGGAAGAGAGAATGTGCAGTGGAGGTATGGCAGTGAATACTCACTATGTTGGCCACTGAGTTTGAGGGTCTGTCCTGAAACCTACAAGGCTTTGAAACAGAGGGTAGACACAAAGACCGTTTTCACTGGTCGGGGGACTCCAAAACAAGGGGAGAGGGGGATGATCACTTTTAGGAGACACAGACGAGGAGAACTCTCTTCACTCAGAATGATGCGAATCACCCAGAGGTGCCCCATTGTTGAATCTATTGAAGGCTGAGGGAGACAGAGCATTGGTCTCTCACAAAACCAAAGGACATGGTGAGGGAGCAGGAAAGTGGAGTTAGGACTCAAGATCAGTCAGGACCATACTGAATGACCATATTCAATGGGCTGAATGGTCTACTCCTGGTCCTATTTATTACGACCACAAGACATAGGAGCAGAGGTAGGCTATTCAGCCCATCGCGTCTGCTCCACCATTCAATGAGATCATGTCTGATCCGATCATCCTCAACTCCACTTTCCTGCCTTTTTACCCAGAACCCTCGATTCCTTCCTGATTAAAGATCTGTCTGTCTCAGCATTGAATGTACTTTATGACCTAGCCTTGACAGCCCCCTACTGTAAGGAATTTTAGAACTTCCCTACCGTCTGATCACTTCCTTCTCATCTCTACCTTCAACGGATGACGACTTATTCTGAGATGATGCTCTCAGGTCCTAGACTGTTCCACAAGGAGAAACAACGTCTCTTTGTCAAATCCCATAAAAATCTTGAATATTTAAATAAGGCTTCCTCTCATTCTTCTAAACTCCACTGTGTACAAACCAAACCTACTCAACCTCTCCTCATAGGACAGTCGCTCCATACCCCGTATTAGCCAAGTTAACTTCTGATTACTTCTGATCGTTTCTGATACCTGTATATATTCCCTTAGATAAGGGGCCCAAAACCATTTACAGTATTCTAGCTTTGCTCTCAGTAGTATAATTTTTAAGCAAAATCATCCTACTTTAAATAAAGGCCAACATTTTATCTGCCTTCCCTATTCCCTGTTGAATTTGTATACAAACTTTTAGTGATTCATGCACAAGGACTTTCAAATTCCTCTATTCCATAGCTTTCTGCAGTCTTTCTCCATTTCAATATCATTCAGCAATTCTTGCCAAAGTGCATAACCTCACATTTTCCCCCATAATATTTCATTTGCCAAATTTTAGCCCAGTTCCTTAGCCTGTCAATATCCCTCTTTATCTCATCTCCACTTGCCTTCCCATCTATTTTTGTGACATCTGCAAGCTTGGCGATAGTACATTTCACTTCCGTCATCCAAGTCACAGTATATTGTGACTAACTGTGGCCTCAGCACTGAGCCCTGTGGCACTCCACTAGTTAAAAGTTGCTATCCTGAAAATGGCCCATTAGTTTCCGTCGCACTTTTTCTCCAGGGACGTTTATTGGATTTCTCTCCTTTTGCTGCTTCATTCTTGACTTGCCACCAGGTTCAAATCTGTCATGTCAATAACCTTTATCAGTTCTGATGAAAGGTCAGATTTTTTAAAAAGTTGGAAAGCATACAGAGTAAAGCTTTCGATAAACTGTCCCCATCAAACATTCCCAGGTCACGTAAAGCATGGGGTTCAATACAGACTAAAGCTCTCTCCACACTGTCCCCATCAAACCCTCCCAGGACAGGGACAGCATAGGGTTCAATACAGAGTAAAGCTCGCTCTACACTGTCTCCATCAGACACTCCCAGGTCACATAAAGCATGGGGTTCAATACAGACAAAAGCTCTCTTCACACTGTCCCCATCAGACACTCCCAGGACAGGGACAGCATGGGGTTAGATACAGAGTAAAGCTCCCTCTACACTGTCTCCATCAATCACTCAGAGATTGCAAAACAACAAAACAGCTCAGCAAGCCAACCAACCTCAACACCCACAACCCGAGCTACAGATCTACTGCCTGCACGAACAGCATCAGAAAGATTCTACATGCCCCGACACACTCACCACACTACCCTACATCAGGAACATGTCGGAACTCACCACAAGACTCCTATGACCGTTGGGCATCAGAGTGGCACACAAGCCCACGTCAACCCTGTGACAACTGCTCACCCGAACTAAAGACCCACTCCCCACCATGGACAGGACCAATGTCATCTACAAAATCCCCTGCAGAGACTGCGAGAAACACTACATTGGACAAACGGGAAGGAAACTAACAACAAGAGTACATGAACACCAGCTAGCTACAAAAAGACACAATCAATACTCATTCATCTCAATCCACATGGACAAGGAGAACCACGACTTCGACTGGGACAACACCAAGATCCTGGGACAGGCTAGGCAAAGACAAGCACGAGAATTTCTGGAAGCATGGCACTCCATGAAGCATGCTATTAATAAACACATTGAACTCGACCCCATATACATTCCACTATGAAGGAAAACCGGAAGTGAGGCAATCCATCTCAACGGACCCCAGAGTTCAAAAACCAGGCGGGAAAACACACCGATGTTTCATCGGAGGCTGCACTGAGGATGTTACCAAGCATGGTAACAAAATGTCTGCAAAACAACAAACCAGCTCGGTGAGCCAACCAACCTCAACACTCAGAGAGGAGTCTCAGTCTAAGACTTTTCGATCTCCATATTACTATTTTCTTTGACCCTTTGACTGACAATGGACTGGCACCAGTCAAAGGCTTTGTGTCAAATGTTTACAGTCAACAAACAACACAGAGCCTCCAGGCCCAGGTCCATGTCAGACGGGTGTGGAAGGGGTACAGGGTGAGGTGATGTAGAATGGAAGGTGGACTACTACAGTTTGCAGCCACTGAGTCAGAAATGGAAAATAGAATGACTGAGGTGAAAACTTATTTCAATGATTCATTCAAACTGTTTAATCTTTGCCATTCATTCCCTGGGTGATGCTCACCTGCAGTATACTGAGGCATCAAGGCACTGGTCATATATTGAAGAGATGGATAGAGATAATTTGGAGGCAAATGCTCCTTCTTCCATGAAGGCCGAGGTTTCCCAAGTATCCTTAAAGCATTCGCAACACAGTATCTGTGACAAGGACAGACAGAGAAAGAGAGAGATCAACATGCCCAACTCTGATGAAAACATTCAGAGATCTATCACTCCCCCTCTCACATACCCTTTGCAAGTAGCAGATATTTTTGAAAATCAAGAATCATCAGGCATGGCTCAGCACTTCCAAAGAGCCCCGAAGGTTACATGTCCAAGCCTCACTAGGACTCATAATACAGAAAGGTGTAACCTGAGGGGAGCACCGCACTGTCGGAAGGTCAGTACTGAGGGAGGGTCGCACTGTCAGAGGGTCAGTACTGTGGGAGTGTCACACTGTCTGAGGGTCAGTAGTGAGGGAGTGCCGCACTGTTGGAAGGTCAGTACTGAGGGAGTGCCACACTGTCGGAGGGCCACACTGTTGGAAGGTCAGTACTGAGGGAGTGTCACACTGTCAGAGGGTCAGTACTGTGGGAGTGCCACACTGTCGGAGGGTCAGCGCTGAGGGAGTGCCACACTGTCGGAGGGTCAGTGCGGAGGGAGTGCCACACTGTCAGATGTGTCATTTTAAGAAGACAGCCTAGACACCAACTTTTTTTTATTTTTAAAGGCAAGTGTAACGCATTGTGTCCTTGGTGCAATTCAATTGGTCAGACTACCAGGCTTGAAGCAAAACACACTTTATTCTTACCCTACAGTTAAAATACAAACAAAAGAAAGAAGAACTGGAATAACTTAACTCTACTGAAAAACTTAACAGAATAATAGATTATTTAACTACTAAACCATAACTGTTTCTTTATAGTAACATCCCATAAACACACCCTTAGCAAAGACAAATTCAGTAAAATAGATTGTCTCATATGCAATTCTAGCAGCAGGAAGAGACCCCCAGCTTTGAGCTGTAACATCCAGCTTCAAGACCCCAGCAACTGCTGAAAGTTAAACTAAAATCCTGGTTCTGTGGGAGCTTGACCCCGCAGTCTTTCATGCGACCTCTATTGTTCCAACTTTTAAAAGTGCCCCAAGACCTCACAAGCTGTTTGCTTTATTGGCTTGGAACAGATTGCTCAGCGACTCATTGAGTATGAGATCCCTGATGGAGGTTGTTAATCTGGTCCAAACAGAGAGCCCTGGCTGACTGGAGTCTCAGAGATTCTCCTCTTTGTAGGGACTGGCTCTGAGCTAGCTGGTCATAGAATCACATCAGTCAGAGTCCATGTACCGTGTAAATAAAGAGTGACTTGGTGATGGAATACTGGCCTCGGTGAGGTTATTTCAGTGGTTTCAACATCAACGGTGCACCCCCTGAAGTAAACTGTCTCTCTCGCTTAGAGGAGGTTTGTGGCTAGCATTGGTATTCGTGTTGCAGTTTCAAACATCCTACAGCATGAAGGCCTGTGCTGAGAGCTGCCCAAAATGCCAACTCCAAGGAGGTGTTTTTTTTAAACGGGTTATGGGCAAGGCCAGTGTTGGTTGCCCATCCCTAGATGCCCCTGAACTATGTTCTCGCTGGGCCACTTCCAGAGCGAAGTTTGGAGCCAACAATGTGGCTGTGGGTCTGGAGTCACACAGAGGCCAAGCTGGATAAACAATTCCTTTGCTTAGGGAACCAAGACAAATCAATACCACAATCACCGTGGTCACCATCATTGAAATTAACTTTTGATTCCAGATTTATGCACTCAGTTGGAATTCCACCAGCTGCTAAGGTGGGATTTGAACCCACATTCTCCAGGACGATACCAAGTGCAGTGGTACTGGCACTGGAGCCAGCACCTCACTGGCACTCTCCAGTGGATCCAGTGTCACTGTTGTTATGGACCAGACCAGACCCTCTCAAAATATATTAAGAAGGAAGCCTAGACCCTAAACGTTTCTTATTTTAAAGGCAAATGTAATGCACTGTGATTCAGATGCAATGCAACTGGTCAAACTACTCGACGTTAAGCAAAACATAATTTGTGCAAATACTATAGTTAAAATACAACAAAAAAAAGGAATAACAACTCGATTGGAAAATTTAACAAAACAAATGATACAGTAAATATTACTAATTAACTTGTTCCATTTAGTAACATCCCATAAATGCGGCCCTTGGCAAAAAGGCAAATTCAGAAACAGATTGTCTCATGTGCAAGCCAGCAGCAGAGAGAAAGAGAAAAAATATCAATGGAAAACTCAGAGTAGCTGCCAGGAGACATTTACTGCAGCTTCTTCCCTGCTGAGACTCCAACAGCAACTGTTTAAAGCTAAACCCAAAAAAAATCTAGAAATCCTGGTTACAGCCGTCCAGGCTGCTTCTATTGTACCAACATTTAAAAAAAAAACCCAAGGCCTCACAAGCTGTTTATGTGACCACAGACTGCTCAACACCTCTCGTTCAATCTGTCTCGTAAAAGAAACCAGGGCAAAATACATTGTGAGACTCTTCCTGTTGTGAGAGAGCTGACCTTCTCCAGAAGTGAAGCAGAGGGAGGATGATGGTCATCCGTGCTTGGTGGAACAGATCCGGCTCCAGTTTGCCATGGCGACTGCTCATGATGATCCTGTCTTTCTCGTAGTCCGTGATATTCACCTACCCAGAAAGAAAACATCAACGTCATTCACAAGACACGGTTTCCTTCAGGTGCCTTAGACCTCAAAATGTGCTCCATGGCCATGACCAACATACCCATTGGATTCCCAAGTGGATCCCTCCAAGGGATGAGGGACATTAGATATGAAATACCCAAAAGGAAAAGCAAGAGAACCATGACTAACAAAGGAAGTTAAATGAAGCATTAGATCAAAGGACAAGACTTATAAAGTTTTCATGAAAACTGTAAGCCTAAGGATTGGGAGAATTTTAGAACTGCACAAAGAAGGACCAAGAAATTGATAAAGAAAATGAGAATAAAGTATACTAAAAAGAGGAAGGCTGCATAGATGAGGAATGTCAGTTACGAAGATAGATTGGAGAAGTTGGGCCTGTCTTCCTTGGAGAAGGGAAGGCTGAGAGGAAATTTGATTGAGGAATTCAAAATCGGGAACGGTCTGGACAGAGTCAATAGGGAAAAAATGTTCCCACTCCTGAAAGGATTGAGAGCGAGAGGCCAAGATTGAAAGTAATTGGTAAAGGAAACAAAAATGAGATGAGGAAAAACATTTTCAGCCAGCAAGTGGTTAAGGTGTGGGATGCACTGCCTGAGAGTGTGGTGGAGGCAGCTTCAATTGAAACATTCTGAAGGGAATGAGACTGTTATTTGTAAAGGAGCAATGTGCAGGGTGACAGGGAGAAGGCAAGAGAATGACACTCAGTGAATTGCTCATTCGGAGAGCCGCTCCAGACAGGAAGGGCGGAATGGCCTCCTTCTGCACTGTAACAATTCGGTGATGTTTAATATTATGTTATGCCACAAACCTGCACTGAGTAAGGGCATGTAGGGCTGGGGAGGGGAAGGGAGCAGAATGATCTTGTAGGGCATGAGGCCCACCACAGGGGCATCAGTGGGCCCCCTGACCTTGGTGCTAGCCCTGGCTATAGCAAATGTTGAGACCCAGGGTGGTGTATGATGGGAGTGAATGGTGGAGCAGGATCAATGGTCCGACTGTAGGTGCTGACTGTCACTGTGGGAAGGGCACAGACCCCACTGCCCTCCTCTCCTGAAGGGGCTGACCCTCCCAGCGTGAAGGATCCAGGCCCCTGTGAGCGGTCTCGGTGTTAATACGCTGCGACAGCAGCAAGGCCCTTCAGCCCAGGCTGACGGTGCTAACCCTGAGCCTCGGCAGCGTGTCCGCGTGCAGGAAGAGTCTGATGATCATTTCCACTTTGGCCTGAAGCAATCCTTCGTAAATCTCATCGTGCATTCCCATTTGAGCCATCATGATCGCAGCTTCAGACCGTTTCACGTACCTGAAAGAGCAGAGACACTGAACAGAATAATCAGCACCAAAACAAATCAGTGTAAAGAGGAACTTTATATCTGACCCCGTGCTGTCCCTGTCCCCATCAAACACTCCCATGACAACATAGAGGAGCTTTACTCCGTGGAGATCTGTAGGGGTCCATGTTTGTACGACAGCTATTCATGTTATATATTAACGATCCGGACAAAGGAATTAAGGGCATTGTTGCTGAGTTTGCAGATGACACAAAAGTTAGTTGAAGAAGGGGGGAGGCTGTTGAAGGACTTGGATAGGCTAGGAGAATGGGCAAAGAAGTCGTAGATGGAATACAATGTGGGAACGTGTGAGGTTATGCAATTTGGTAGGAAGAATAGGGGCATAGTCTATTTCACAAAATGGGAAAGGTTTCGGAAATCTGACATACAAAGTCACTTGGGAGTTCAAATTCAGAATTCTCTTAAGGTTAACATGCAGGTTCAGTTGGTGTTTGGGTAGGTAATTGCAACGTTAGCATTCATTTGATTAGGGCTAGAATACAAGAGCAGGGATGGACTGCTCAGTCTGTATAAGGCTCTGGTCAGACCGCATTTAGAATATTGTGAGCAGTTTTGGCCCCTGAAAGAAAGGAAGAATGTTCTGGTATTGGAGGGGGTCCAGAGGAAGTTTACAAGAATGATCCAGGGATGAAGGTCTTGTCATACGAGGAGCAGTTGAGGTCTCCTGGTCTGTACTGGATGGGTTTTAGGAGGATGAGGGGGGTGGATCTGATTGAAACTTACAGAATACTGAGAGGCAGCAGCCTCATGGCAATACCACCCCCTGCAAGTTCCCCTCCAGGCCACTCACCATCCTGACTTGAAAATATATCACCGTTCCTTCAAATGTCACTGGATCACAATCCTGGAATTCCTCCCTAAGGGCATTGTGGGTCTACCTACAGCACATGGACTGTAGTGGTTCAAGAAGGCAGCTCATCCCCACCTTCTCAAGGGGGCAACTAGGGACAGGCAATAAATTATCCAGCACCGCCACAAACACGCACTAATATTAAGCATTCATCTCTCCACCTTCACCCATCACCAGGCAGGCAGCTACTCTGATGCCCAGTCTTGCGCCCACTTACTGCTCGATTTCCATGCAGAAGTGCAGATCATTGACCAGGTAGTTGATAATGATCTGTCGATTGAACATCATTCGCTTTTTCAAGTGGGGTGTGTCAGAATCGTCCACATAATCGATCCCTCGGAAGACGAGGGAGCTGCCCTGGGATGGCACCCTGGTCATGATGCGAGATGTCACGGTGTCTGAAAATTGCAGAGAGAGAAAGTTGTTAGTGGGATGGAGGGGATCGGCTCATTACAAAGTTACACTCACCTTCACATTCCCCATGCAAGGTCTGCATCCTGACTCTCCTTGGGGAGGTGCCCTATTCCCTGAATTGACTTTATTTGGTAATTGATGGCAGCGGTCAGAAGGGGCACTAAAGAGACAGTGCCCAGTGACTTCAGAACTGTGGAGGAGTTGGAGAATCTGGGACAGGGCGCCTCAAAGGGGAGGGGGAATCAAAGGGAGCTTTGATAGACGTGGTCAAAATCATAGGAGATTTCGACAGAGTAAATGCGATCAGGAGGGTCAGTACACAGATGGGAACTCAGATTTTAAATGACTGCCCGAAACCAGAGAGGAGAATTTCTTCGATGCGCTGAAGGTGGCTGATATGGGCAGTGACAGCTGTAGAGTCATACAGCACAGAAACAGACCCTTGGCTCAACTCGTCCATGCTGATCAGGTTTCCTAAACTGAACTAGTCCTGTATCCCTCTAAACCTCTCCTGTTCATGTACCTGTCCAAATGTCATTTAAATGTTTAATTGTAGTCACCTCTACCACTTTCTCTGGCAGCTCATTCCATATAAGCACCACTTCTGTGTTAGAAAGTTGCCCCTTAGGTCCCTTTTAAAAACATTCCCCTCTCACCTTAAACCTATGCCCTCTAGTTTTGGACTCCCCTACCCTGGGGAAAAGACCTTGACTATTCACCGTATCCATGGTCCTCATGATTTTATAAACCTCTACGAGGTCACCCCTCAGCCTCTGATGCTCCAAAGGAAAATGCCCCAGCCTATCCAGCCTTACCTTGTAACTCAAACCCTTTAGTCCTGGCAACATCCTTGTGAATCTTTTTGCATCCTTTCCAGTTGAATAACATCTTTCCTATAGCAGGGTGACCAGAATTCAGTGGTGACTGTCATTGGCAAAAGCCTCTGTTAGGTGTAAACTCAGAATGTGTGGTTTTGTAACAAACTTTCCATTGATCTCCAGGACAAATCCACTGTAAAAATGGGGCAGCCTCTCAAAATTCAGGAAAGCTTGATACCACAAAGGGTGAAGTCTTGCTTCCAACAGTTGGTGAACCATTGGTGGCACAAACGCGGACATCAGGGGTGTCAGGAGGTGGGCAAGCATCAGGGTGATGGGCCAAAGGGCTTTGTTCCATGTTATCAAGACATAAGGAAATTGCAAGGGGACATAGATAGGTTGAAGGAGGGAGCTAAAAGAAAACACGGCAGATGGAGTTTAGTGTAGAAAAGAGTGAGGTCATGAACTCTGGAAGAGTCAAAGGCGGACTACTACTTAAATGGAGAGAGACTCGAAAAAGGAAGGTGCAGTGCAGAGGGATCTGCGTGTTCTTGTGCATGAAACACAAAGTTGGTGTAACATGCAACAAGTAATTAGGAACACATACAGAATTTTGGCTTTCATTACTAGTGGTGGTGGGGGGCGTGGGGGAGTGGTCAGAGTTTAAAAATAGGGATCAAATCGTTCAGGGTGTTGGTGATGCTGCACCCAGAGTACTGTGTACAGTTTGGCTCCTGGTATTTAAGAGAAGATGTACTGGAATTCAAGGCTGTTCAAAAGAAATTCACTGGGCTGATCCCAGAGATGAAGGAGGTGCCTTATCAAGAATGGCGAATCAGGTTAGGCCTTTATTCTTTGGAGTTTAGAAGAACGAGGAGTGATCTTAATGAAATATATGAAACGCGTTTTGACAGGTTAGATGGTGCTTTCATTAGTGGGTGAATGTAACTGAGATGCGAAGGAATTTCTTCTCTCAGAGGGTAGTGAATGTCTGGAATTCTCTACCCCCTAGAATTCTCTAGCGTTGCAGAGGCTAGATCACCGATAGTATGGAGATAGATAGATTCCTGAAATGTCCAAGGAGTTGAGGGCTACAAGAACCTGACACACAAGAGAATTTGAGGACAGATTAGCCAAGATCTTGGTGAATGGCGGGCTGGGCTTCGAGGGGCTGAATGGTCTACTCCTGTTTCTATTTCTTACGCTCTACCACTGGCAGTGTGGTGAAGGGCAGCTTCCCCCAACCTCCTGGTTCTAGTGTGAGCCGCTGCCCCTGCCCCCCCCCCCCCCCCCCCCCACCCCCCACCCCCCCCCCTCCCCCCGCCGCGCTCCCCCCCCCCACTTTGTGGCCTTACTCTGCTCGTTGTTGTAGACCTCATCGCGCAGGAAGTGGATGAAGTGAAGGCGGAGCCGGGAATTCCAGATCATCCGCCGGAAGGTGACGACCGACCTGATGATAGCCACCAGCTCCCTCCATGAGCGGTTCTGAAAAGCACAGAGGTAGAGAGAAAAACAGAGAGAGAGACAGAGAAAGAAAGCTCGAGGCAGGACCTTCAGTTGCATGTCCCAGCTGTGCAACTGCAAAACTGAACCCCGCCTTGCTCTCCCCTAAAGTGCTCGCTCGCGACATCACCCTCGCCTGTGACCAACCCCACCCTGTCCTTGAATGCCCCCCCTGAAACCGACTCTCTCCTATTGCTCCCCGTCCCACCACCTATCCTACCCACAAGGAGAAGCATCCTTTCCCTGACCACCAAAGATATGTTGTTCCTTTTATTTCTCCTCCTGTTCTGCTAGGGGAAGCGTGTTGGCACGTAAACACAGGAAATAGGAAAGGCAGAAGTAGACCATTTGGCCCATCGACCCCGTTCCACCTTCAATGTGGTTATGACTCACCTTCCACATTTCCTATCACATTTCTGCCTGCTCCCCATGTCCTTTCAATCATTTATATTCCCACCCTCTCAAATCCGTCCAGAATCCCGTCACAACGGAATTGCATCTCAATCAGTCCCAGTCAGCTCAATGTCATACCTTCGGACAATGACCGCTAGCCAACCCCTATCCCAAGAGTTGCCTCCACTGCATCTCTGTAGCGCCGTTCACAACCTCAAGGCCTTCATGGGGATAACAAGGTTTTTTTTTCTTTTCCTGACACACCTAACGCTGCTGTCATGGTAGGCAGCCTAGGCACAGCAAGATCCTACAAACGGCTATGACGGTCATAGCGACCTGTTTCGGCGCTGGCCCGTGCACTGGGGACAACTCTTCAAAAGGTAGTGCCGTCTTCTGACGTTCCACAGTTACTTGAAGCTCTAGTATCCGGTCTTTGTCATACTCTCCAACGGGAGTCTCGGATTGTCAGGGGCTTTCAGATGAGATGTCAAACCATGGCCCTTGTCTACTTTGAAAGGTCCCACTGTGTACAATTTGAAAGAGGATGTTACCGAAAAGAAAGGTGTTACCAAAACCTTGTATCTTTTGGACCATGTGCAAGAAAGCCAAATTTCAAGTAATTCCCATCACTGGCGTGCAGCGGGCTGATTTCTTGACAAGTTGACTCTGATTGGACAAGGGTTGCCATGGAGAAAGCAACAGGGTCCCCATGCCTCCGGGTTATTTGTAAAATGGGCGAGGATCGAACATATTCACAGGCGGCACAGTGGCTCAGTGGTTAGCACTGCTGCCTCACAGCTCAAGGGACACGGATTCGACTCAACCCTCGGGCAACTGTCCATGTGGAGCTCGCACGTTCTCCCCGCGTCTGCGTGGGTTTCCTCCGGGTGCTCCAGTTTCCTCCCACAGTCCAAAGATGTGCAGGTTAGGTGCATTGGTCATGCTAAATTGCCCATAGTGTCCAGGGGGTTCGGGCTGGGTGGGTTAGCAATGGGAGATGCAGGGTTAAGGGGAGTCTGGGAGGGATGTTCCTCAGAGGGTGGTGTGGACTCGATGGGCCAAATGGCCTGCTTCCACACTCTAGGGAGTCTACGATATTCCTTCTGGTGACAGAGGATGGGTCTTTGTTTATGAATGTCACTTCTACTAAATATTGATCAACCACTTGATGAGCTTGACCGATTCTCTTATGTTAGGTGTTTGTGTAGCTCACAGACAGCCTGGAGTTCTCCCAGTGTCCTGGCTCATACTTCTCTGCTCCACCGACATCACAAAGACAGATTAACCAGTCACCAACACATTGCTGTTGGCGGGAGCTTGCTGTGCATGAATTGGCTGTCACCTTTCCTACACCACAACATTCCAAAAAACCTATCACTGGCTAAAAAGAGCCCTGGGCTATCCATGAAAGGCCAATGCAGGTCACAGGGAGGGGATTTACCCAAGCGACTCACCTTCCGGCTTATCGTCTGGATTGACCTCAGGATCAACATGGAAGGCGAACGCTCGATAGGCTGATCTGGGTATGTTTTCAGGTATTGGTCAAACCTGCACCAAGAAGGAGAGGGTGTGAGAATAAGCTATCCTGTCCCAGGTCACCCAGAAATAATCCCACCCTGAAGGGCAGACACAGGTAGTTTCCTCACTGACACCCCTTTCCCTCAGTCCACTGGTTGACAGAGACAGTGGGATTTGTGGATCGCTCTGCTTCCTCTGACTGGTCTCACAGCCTATTAGGTTTATTGTCAAATGATCACTATCCCCACATCGCTTGCTATCAATTTCTGTCTTGAACATGCTCCACAATTTCCACAGGCTCTGAAATTCCAAAGATTTGCCTCCCCACCATCCCCCCTCTGAGTGAAGACACTCTTCCTCCCCTCAGTCCTGACTGGCCTACCCCTCAACCTGAGGAGAAGTCCCCTGGTTCCAGACCTATCTGCCTTTGAAATGTTGTGCCTACCCTGTCACACCCTAAGTTTCAGCAACGTCACCCTCATTCCACAAAACTACCTTTCCACCCAGGACACATTCTTAAGGAACCCCCTGCCCCAGTCCTCAAGTCCACACTCCAAATTCATCTTGTTTAAAGTTTTTTGGGAAGATCTGTAGCTCGGGTTGTGGATACAGTTATAGAATTGCTCGCTGAGTAATTATTACCTATTACCTAGCAGGGCGACGAAACGTCTGCAATCAAACACACCAGCTCGGTGAGCAAGTCTACAACCTCCAATTCATCTTGTCTCAGGGAATTGGCTACAATCCTTAACTGCCAGGTTAAATCAGGACAAGAACTTTCTTTTATTCATTAACAGGAAATGAGGGCATCGCTGGCTAAGGCAGCATTTATTGTCCATCCCTAATTGCCCAGAAGACAGTTAAGAGTCAACCACATTACTGTGGGATTGGAGTCACATGTAGCCCAGACCAGGTACGGATGGCAGTTTCCTTCCATAAAGGACATTAGTGAACCAGATGGGTTTTTTCCGACAATCGACAATGGATTCGTGGTCATCATTAGATTCTTAATTCCAGATATTTATTGAATTCAAATTCCACCATCTGCTGTGGCGGGATTTGAACCCGGGTCCCCAGAACATTATCCGGGTCTCTGGATTAACAGCCCAGCGATAATACCACTAGGCCATTGCCTCCCCACATTCAACACAAGATGATAACCGGTTGATGGCTAGTGGACAAAAAATGTTGAGTGGATGGCAGTAAATGAAGGACAGGGATGGCAGGATTTGGAGTGGATAACAGTCAGTAGATGATAGTGGTTGCAGGAAGGCGACTGGAGGACGGCGATTGGATAGCGGTGATTGAATGACATTGAGTGGGTATTCTGAATGGAGGTTGGTGATTGGATGATTCACCATAATGCTTGTGACAACAGCAACAGCCTGCATTTACGAAGCATGTTTCCTGTAGTAAAATATCGCAAAGCATCACGGAGGTGTTATCAATGAAAGGTTGACCCAAAGTGATAGTGGGAGATGTGAGTGCAATTGATGAAAAGTTTGGTTCAGAAAGTCGGTCGTAAGAAGTGTCATAAGATGCTAAGCCAAGGAGACAAGGAGAGAGGGTAACTCCAGACCTCAGCAGCTGAAGGCATAGCTGCCAAGTAATGATTAAATCTGGGATATGTGGATGGTGGGTACTGGAAGGGCAGGGAATCAGTTGGCCTAGAGTCATAGAGATGTACAGCACAGAAACAGACCCTTTGGTCCAATTTATCCATACTGACCAGATATCCTAAACTGATTTCATTCCATTTGCCAGCATTTGGCCCATATCCTTCTAAACCCTTCCTATTCATGTACCCATCCAGAAGCCTTTTCAATGCTGTAATTGTACCAGCCTCCACCACTTCCTCTGGCAGCTCATTCCATACACTCACCACTCTCTGCGTGAAAAAGTTGCCCCTTAGGTCCCTTTTAAATCTTACCTCTCCCACCTTAAACTTATGGCTTCTAGTTTTGGGCTCCCCTACACTGAGGAAAAGACCTTAGCTATTCACTTATCTATGCCCCTCATGATTTTATAAACCTCTAGAAGGTCACCTCTCAGCCTCCGACGCTCCAGGGAAAAATGTCCCAGCATATTCAGTCTCTCCTTATAACTCAAACCTTTCAACCTGGCAACATCCTCGTAAATAATTTCTGCACCCTCTCAAGTTTAACAGCTTTCCTGTAGCAGGGAGACCAGAATTTAATGCAGTATTCCAAATGTGGCCTAAATAATAAAAACCGAAAGAATTGCGATTGCCATAAATCAGGAACAAAAACAGAAATTGCTGGAAAAGCTCAGCAGGTCTAGCAGCACCTGTGAAGAAAAATTCAGAGTTAATGTTTCGGGTCCGGTGGCCCTTCCCCAGTTCTGGAGAAGGGTCACCGGACCCGAAACGTTAACTCTGATTTTTTTCTTCACAGATGCTGCTAGGCCTGCTGAGCTTTTCTGGCAATTTCTGTTTTAGTGGCTTAACCAATGTCCTGTACAACTGCAACATGACCTCCCAACTCCTATACCCAATGCATTGACCAATAAAGGCAAGCGTGCCAAAAACCTTCCTCACTACCCTTTGTCCCTGCGACTCCACCTTCAAGGAGCTATGAACCTGCACCCCAAGGTCTCTTTGTCCGGCAAGACTCTCCAGGACCTTATCATTAAGTGTAAAAGCTCTGCCCCGATTTGCCTCATGAAAATGCAGCACCTCACATTTATCTGAATTAAACGCCATCTGCCACTCCTCGGCCCAAGGGCCCATGTGATCAAGGTCCCGTTGTACTCTGAGATAACCTTCTTCACTGACGGCTCCCCCACCAGTTTTTGGTGTCATCTGTAAATTTTCTAACCATTTCTCCTGTATTCACATCCAAATCATTTAAAGAGTCTTTTGGTTTGTATGGTGGCCGCAGTGACACGCTCTGACTACAAAATGCTAGAGCCTTTTCGCAAGCGAAGTAGAGAACAACCATACTGACCAGTTGTGCCGCAAACTGTCCTGAACATCGGACTGAGCTTGTAAAAGCATGTTCATGGTGATTTGGTGACCAGACTCAATCGATTCCATGATCTGCTTGATAACCGACGCATCGCATTGGAGAAACTGCTCTGTGGATGAGGGGCAAGAAAGAGGAAGACAAAATAATGGAGTGAACCTCCACAATCACGCCACGTTCTGTACTCTACTCTCGATCTGCCGCTACTCAGCTCGCCATCACCATCAGGTATTCTTATTTCCATTTCTCACCCATTGGACACTCCCAAGCCAACAACATAGGGGCCAGTGAGGACCCACAGAGCTCCCTTGGCTACAACAAAGGGATCAACTGTTTCCACGGACCAAATACAGAAACACAACACTAAAACTAGCTGACAAAGAGAAGTGCAGAGAAAGAACTAATACCAGGCCCCATCAGTAATAACTTTGGAGAGTACATGCATGTTACACAACGTATAAGCTGCCCACCCCAAATGCCTTGATTGGATTCCAGTCTGTAACTCACTCCCAGGTATCTGTTATCCTATATATAAACCATTCCGAGCCCCTTGATTAGATTCCAGTCTGTAACTCCCTCTTGTTATTCTATACATAAACCATCCCGAACCTCTCAATTAGAGTACAGTCTGTAATCCATTCCTGATTATCTGTTATTTTATATATAAACTCCTCAATCTTTCTGATTAGATTCCACGCTGTAACTCACTCCCAGATATCTGCTTTTCTACATATAAACCACCCTGAACACCTCAAATAGAATCCACTATGTATCTCACTCCCCAGTATATGTTATTCTGTATAAATTCTCCCCCCTCCAAACCCCCAATTATTTTCCAGTCTGTAACACACTTTGAGATATCTCTTACTCTGCATGTAAACTACACCGAACCCCTCAATTAGATTCTAACCTGTAATTTAACATAGAAACATATAGGATAGGAGCAGGAGGAGGCCATTCTGCCCTTAAGAGTCTACTCTGCCATTTATCATGATCATGGTTGATCATCCAACCCAATAGCTTAACTCTGCTTCCTCCCCATAACCTTTGATCCCATTCACTCTAAGTGCTATATCTTGTCACCTCTTGAATACATTTAATGTTTTGGTATCAACAACTTCCTGTGGTAATGAATTCCACAGGCTCACCACTTTTTCGGTGAAGAAATGTCTCCTCATCTCAGTCCTAAATGTCTACCCCAAATCCTCATACTGTGACCCCTGGTTCTGGACACACCCACCATCGGGAACATCCTCCCTGCATCTACCCTGTTAGAATTTTATAAGTCTCTATGAGATCCACTCCCGCTGCATTCATCTAAACACTAGCAAAAACAATTTACTCCCAAGAGATCAGCTTTTCTATGTATAAACCATCCTGAGCACCTCAAATAGGATCCTTTAGGTAACTCACTTCCAGATAAATGTTATTCTATAGAAAACCCGCTCTGAACTCCTCGATTAGATTCCAACCATCAAAGACGCCTACCACGCCATCCCTTGCCTGCATTTTGGTAAACGGGACCATAAGAGTAAGCTCCTTCTCCTGGGTGCAAGCAGAAACTGACGCATGGGGATCCACAACAGAAAGTCATACAGTGGTTGGTCTGAAGTAATGGATGAACTCCTACATGACTGCTGGGAGTCGGTGGGCTAGTCCATATTCAAGAACTCAGTAGCTAACCTAAATGAGTATGCCACTGCTGTTACAGACCTCATCAGTAAGTGAGTAGAGACTGTGTGCCAAAGACATTAGTCCATGTGCTCCCCAACCGGAAGCCACAGATGAGCTAGGACATCCACTCCCTACTAAAGTCCAGAAGTGAGACGTTCAAATTGGTGACCCTGAGCTATAGAGGAAATCTAGGTACAATCTTTGCAAAGCCATCAGAGGCGCCAAGAGGCAATACCAGGCTAAACTAGGCTCCGAGACTAAGCATGTGAATACCCATCGTTTGTGATAAGGCTTTCACAATGTAATGGGCTACAAAGCAAAGTCTTATTAGAATCGCTGGCAAAAATACATCCCTCCACGATGAGCTCAATGTATTCTATGTTCCTTTTGAACAGAAGCTCAGTGAAATGATGTCACCTGCCCCCGACAGCCTCAGGTTCACCTTGCACCCACAGTCACCACTGCAGATGTCAGATCGGCCTTCTTGAGGGTGAACCTACGGAAAGCGACTGGCCCAGACAGAATTCTCGTCTGTGAACTCAGATCCTGCGCAGACCAGCTGGTGGGAGCATTCACAGATATCTTTAACCTCTCCTTACTCCGATCTGAGGTTCCCAACTGCTTCGAGATGCGCACAACACCTTCAGCCTCCCAGATTGTCTTGATCCATTACAATTTGCCCACCATCGCAACAGGTCCATAGCAGACACCATCTCCCCAGCCCTACACTCACCCCTAGGAACATCTGGATAACAAGGAGGTCACCTGCCTCCTATTTATTGACTTGAGCTCTGCCTTCAACACCATAATTCCAACAACACTCAGCTCCAAACTCCGAGACCTAGGACTCTGCAAACCCCTCTGCAACTGGATCCTCGACTTCCTGACCCGCAGACCTTGATCACTAAGGATAGACGACAATACCTCCTCCACCATAATCCTCAGCACCAGTGCCCCGCAAGGCTGTGTACTCAGCTCCTTTCTATACTCCTTATACACTCACAACTGTGTGGCCAAATTCAGCTCTAACTCCATTTACAAATTTGCTGATGACACCATCATAGTGGGTCAGATCTCAAACAACAACAAGACTGAGCACAGGGAGGAGATTGAGAGCTTGGTGGCATGGTGTAAAGACAATAATTTCTCCCTCAATATCAGCAAAATTTCAGCTGGTCATCGACTTGAGGAAGTGGAGTGAAGGACACGTCCCTGTCTGTATCAATGGTGCTGAGGTGGAGATATTCGAGAGCTTCAAATTCCTAGAAGTAAATATCACCAACAACCTGACCTGGTCCGTCCACATTGATTCTACAGTCAAGAAAGCACACCAATGCCTCTCCTTCCTCAGATGGCTAAGGAAATTTGGCATGTCCACAATGACCGTTAACAATGTTTATAGAAGCACCATCTAAAGCATCCTATCTGGATGCATCACAGATTGGCAACTGCTCTGCCCAAGATTACAGAGAATTATGAACGCAGCCCTGGCCATCACACAAACCAGCCTTCCTTCCACTGACTCTGTCTGCACTTCCCACTGCCTCGGGAAAGCAGCCAACATAATCAAAGACCTCTTCCACTCCAGTTTATACTTTCTTCCACCCTCTTTCATTGGGCAGAAGATACAAAAATTTGAAAACACATACCAACAGATTTAAGGACAGCTTCTTCCCCGCTATTATCGGACTTCTGTATGGACCTGTCATAGATTAGATCTGGTCTTTCTCTACATCTTCTCTGTAGATGGAACGCTACATTCTTCATTCTCTTCTACTACCCTGATGTACTATGTAAAATATGACTTGTCTGGTTAACACACAATACAACACTTTCCATTGCATCTTGGTAATCTTCCTCTTCCTACCTGTATCATTGGGTGAGGGTTTCTCCCCACTGTCCCAAACCAGGGTGCAATGATCAGTTTGCTCATCCTCCCTACAGCCCCCACTCTCAACCTCACAAGAGAGCAAGAATCTCAAACCTGTTAGACAAGCTCAAGCACTGAGGCTCCTTCAACATGACGTCCTGGATCCCACTATCTGCCTCACTGGTAGTCACACCCTCCTGACCCTGACCACTGACCACATTTCAGGTAGCTAATATAAGGGGTGCGACTGCCTCCTGCAACACAACGTCCAGGTAACTCCTCCCATCTCTGATGTGTCACGGTGTTCATAGCTCAGACTCCAGCTCATTAACTCTGAGCCAGAGTTCCTCAGGCAATCAACACTTGCTGCAGATGTGGTCACTACAAGCCACAATGGGGTCCACCAGCTCCCACATCATGAAAGTACAACACATCGCCTTAGAACATAGAACTGTACAGCACAGTACAGGCCCTTTGGCCCACGATGTTGTGCCGAACTTTTACCCTAATCCTAAGGTCTATCTAACCTCCACCCCTACCTTATACTATCATCCATATGCCCATCTAATAGCCGCTTAAATGCCCCTAATGAGGCTGACTCCACTACCCGCTCCGGCAATGCATTCCACGCCCCTACCACTCTCTGAGTAAAGAACTTACCTCTGACGTCTCCCCTGTATCTACCTACACTCACTTTAAAACTATGCCCCCTCGTATTAGCTACCTCCACCCTAGGAAAAAGTCTCTGACTGTCTACTCTACCTATACCTCTGATCATTTTGCACACCTCTATCAAGTCACCTCTCATCCTTCGTCGTTCTAAAGAGAAAAGCCCTAGCTCTCTCAACCTTTCCTCGTAAGACCTTCCCTCCATTCCAGGCAACATCCTGGTAAATCTCCTCTGCACCTTTTCCAACGCCTCCACATCTTTCCTGTAATGAGGCGACCAGAACTGGACACAATACTCCAGATGTGGCCGAACCAGGCTTTTGTATAGCTGGAGCATAACTCCACGGCTCTTGAATTCAATCCCTCTATTAATGAAAGCTAACACACCATACGCCTTCTTAACAACTCTATCCACCTGGGTGGCAGCTTTCAGGGAACTGTGGACATGAACCCCAAGATCCCTCTGCTCCTCCACACTGCCAAGAATCTTTCCATTAACCCTATATTCTGCTTTCAAGTCTGTCCTTCCAAAATGAATCACCTCACACTTTTCAGCGTTAAACTCCATCTGCCACTTCTCAGTCCACTCTGCATCCTATCAATGTCCCTTTGTAACCTAGAACAGCCCTTCGCACTATCCACAACGCAACCCACCTTCATATCGTCCGCGAACTTGCTAATTCACCCTTCCACTCCTTCATCCAAATCATTCACAAAAATCACAAATAGAAGAGGACCCAGGACAGATCCTTGTGGTACACCACTCGTAACTGAGCACCACTCGTAACTGAGCACCATGTTGAATATTTTCCATCCACTACCACCCTTTGTCTTCTAAGGGTCAGCCAATTCTGAATCTAATCTGCCACATTTCCCCCTATCCCATGCCTCCTTACCTTCTGCATGAGCCTACTATGGGGAACTTTATCAAACGCCTTACTTAAATCCATGTATACCACATCCACTGCTCTACCTTCATCCACGTGTTTGGTCACCTCTTCAAAGAATTCAGTAAGGTTTGTGAGGCATGATCTACCCCTCACAAATCCATGCTGACTATCACGAATCAAACTGTGCCTTTCCAAGTGATCATAAATCCTATCTCTCAGAGCCCTTTCCAATAATTTTCCCACCACTGATGTAAGACTAACTGGTCTGTAATTTCCGGGGTTATCCCTATTCCCTGTTTTGAATAAGGGAATCATGTTTGCCTCTCTCCAATCTTCTGGCACTATACCCGTGGACAGTGAGGACGAAAAGATCATCGCCAAAGGCCCTGCGATCTCTTCCCTCGCTTCCCATAGAATCCTTGGATAAATCCTACCAGGCCTGGGGGACATATCTATCTTCAAGTTCCTCAAAATTCCTAGCACATCTTCCTTACTAACATCGACCTGCCCTAGCCTACCAGCCTGTTTCACACTGTCCTCCTATACAACTAGGTCCCTCTCAGTTGTGAATATCGAAGAAAAGTATTCATTAAGGACCTCTCCTATCTCTTTAGGCTCCGTGCACAAGTTCCCTTTACAATCCTTGATCGGCCCTACCCTTTCTCTGGTCATTCTCTTACTCCTCACATACGTGTAAAAAGCCTTGGAGTTTTCCTTGATCCTATCTGCCAAGATTTTCTCATGCCCCCTTATAGCTCTCCTAAGCTCTTTGTTCAGCTCCTTCCTGGATAACTTGTATCCCGCTAGAGCCTTTTCCGATCCTTGTTTCCTAAACCTTACATAAGCCTCCTTCTTCCTCTTAACCAGTCGTTCAACCTCTCTTGAGAGCCAAGGCTCCCTCACTCGACCGCATCTTCTCTGCCTGCTAGGGACAAACATATCGAGCACACGCAGTATGCATTCCTTAAACAATCTCCACATTTCAATAGTGCTCTTCCCTGACAGCATCTGTTCCCATTTTATGTTACCCAGTTCTTGCCTAACAGAATTGTAATTACCCTTCCCTCAATTATAAACCTTACCCTGCTGTATGTACCTATCCTCTTCCATGACTATTGTAAAAGTAACAGAGTTATGATCGCTACCGCCAAAATGCTCTCCTACCAACAGGTCTAACACTTGGCTCAGTTCATTGCCAAGCACCAAATCCAAAGTGGCCTCTCCTCGTATTGGTCTATCGACATACTGTGTCAGGAATCCTTCCTGAACGCACTGGACAAAATCTGCTCCATCTAAACTATTACAACTAAAATGTTTCCAATCAATATTTGGAAAGTTGAAGTCACCCATGACTACAACCCTGTGACTTCTGCACCTTTCCAGTATCTGCCTCCCAATCTGCTCCTCTACTTCTCTGCAACTATTAGGGGGTCTATAAAAAACCCCCAACAAAGTGACTGCTCCTTTCTTGTTCTGGACCTCAACCCAAACTGACTCTGTAGACATATCATTCTCTGCCTTTCAGTAGCTGCTATACTAGCCCTGATTAGCAATGCCACTCCCCCGCCTCTTTTTCCACTCTCCCTATTTCTTTTAAAGCATCTAAATCCCGGAACTTCCAACAACCATTCCTCCCTGAGTTACCCAAGTTTCTGTAATGGCCACAACGTCGTAGTTCCAAGTACCGACCCACGCTCTAAGTTCATCTGCCTTATTTCTGATACTTCTAGCATAGAAGTATACACACCTCAAACCATCTCTGTGTCCACAATTATGCTCCATCGACTGCATTTCTTTATAAACAACCTCAATCCCTGTTGTGTCCGTTGGAAGGCTGAATATCTCATCCTCTGAATTATAAATCCGGTTCCCCACCCCTGCCAATCTAGTTTAAACCATCCCGTATAGCTCGAGCAAACCTCCCTCCCAGGATATTTGTGTCCTTCCGGTTCAGGTGCAACCCGTCCTTACTGTACAGGTCCCACCTTCCCCAGAATGTGCTCCAATTATCCACATAATGGAAGTCCTCCCTCCTACACCAGCCCTGTAGCCACGTGTTCAGCTGCACTCTCTCCCTATTTCTTACCTCGTTATCACATGGCACTGGTAGTAATCCAGAGATAACTACCCTGTTGTCCTGGACTTCAGCTTCCAACCTAACTCCCTGTACTCGTTTTTCACATTCTCTGTCCTTATTCTACCTATGTCATGGGTACCGATGTGTACCATGACTGCTGCGTGCTCACCCTCCCCTTAAGGATCTTGAAGACATGATCCGAGACATCACGGACCCTGGCACCCGGGAGGCAACATACCATCCGTTCATCTCGTTCGCGTCCACAGAACCGCCTGTCTGCGCCTCTTACTATCAAATCCCCCACTACAATTGCTCTCCTATTCTCCCCCCTTCCCTTCTGTGCCACAGGACCAGGCTCAGTGCCAGAGACCTGTCCACCATGGCCCACCATGGTCATCCCCCCCAACAGTATCCAAAACGGAATACTTATTATTGAGGGGAATGGCCACAGGGGATCCCTGCACTGTCTGCCTATTCCCTTTCCCCTTCCTGACAGTCACCCAGTTACCTTTCTCCTGTACTTTGGATGTGACCACCTCCCTATAACTCCTCTCTATCACCCCCTCAGCCTCCCGAATGATCCGGAGTTCATCCAGCTCCAGCTCCAGTTCCCTCATGCGGTTTTTGAGGAGCTGGAGTTGGGTGCACTTCTCGCAGGTGAAGTCAGCAGGGACACCAGCAGTGACCCTTACCTCCCACATCCCACAAGAGGAGCATGCAACTGCTCTAGCTTCCATTCCCTCTACTCTAGATTTCCAGAAGAATTAAAAAAAAAAGCCTTACCTTACCGACCCTCCACACAGTCTTTTTTTTGCTTAGAGGAGGAGGATGGGTGGGAGACACTACACGTGTAGTGTTTCGGGTTTAGCCAATGCCCGAATATATCAGTTCCTTCCTGGCTCGCGCTCTCTCCACACACCTGCCGCTGAAAACAAGAGGGCCTCTGCTGCACGAGGTAAGTTTTTATACTGGAGAAAAAAAACAACCTTACCTTCCAATCGGCACCTCTGGCTCGCACTGCTGCCGCTGAAAACAAGAGGGCCTCTGCTGCATGAGGTAAGTTTTTATACTGGAGAAAAAAACCTTACATTCCCGTTGGCACTCTGGCTCGCGCTGCTGCCACTGAATACTTGCCTGGCATCTCTATTTTAATTTTTTAATTTGATTTTTAAAAACTTCATACTGGTCTTTTAGTTTGTATACTGTAAATATTTTCCCTCTTCACCTTCAATCTGAAAGTAACATATAATAAAGTCAAATTGGTAGCTATCACCAACCGATGAGCTGATGGTTTACCCAGGATATCACTGTTTGTGCTGGGCCTCTGATCCTAGGCTTCAACTTCTCCTGTTTTAAGAAATTTTTATGAACTACGGGGAGCCAGAAAAAAAAACCAAAAAGCAGCTTTTCCTCTCTGTACTGAATTCCTACGTTGCCAACAAATTTCCCAAACTATATACTCACTTGAGCTATGTCTCACTGTGGAGGAATCTCAATGTCTCGCTCTGGAGGAATCTCTCCTTCCCAATCATGCAAAGCTTACTGATACGTACCTGAGCTTCACTGTACTCAGCTGTAAGTGATCTCTTCATAATTTTATCCTAAAACTTCTAATCTGAGATTACCAATAATTTTCAATGCAAGGTAATCTAATTCACTATATCTATCATTCCCTTCTCAGGAGCACTGCTCTGTGCAGACATCCTATTCCAAGGACTTCACTTAAAATGAAAAGTAAACTAAAAGTCTCTCTCTCAGTTATGGGCATATCCTTTAAACTTAAAAAAACACACAATTCTAGAGTAAATGACAGTCCATTAGTGCACACATCCATTCACTCTCCTTCTAGGCTTCATAAGCTGTTTTCAAAAGAAATTTCTATAGTTGCAGAAATACTTACAAGTTAATAATTAAGTTCAGACACACAGAAAAACTCTCAGTTGAATGATTCAAAAACCAGACCCAAATTCACAGCAAATAACATTAAAGAACATATATGTAAATCCCACAGTTCAAATCACAATTTAAATATCACATTGGCAGGTGCTTCAGTATCTAGCCAAATATTTAGCTATTCAGCCACAAACAGCAGCACACTTCCTTCAACATGTCATGCCTCAAGTGGTCCACTTAAGATTGTCATAAAGTCATAGAGATGTACAGCATGGAAACAGACCATTCGGATCAACTCATCCATGCCGACTAGATATCTTAAATTAATCTTGTTCCACTTGCCAGAATCTGGCCCATATTCCTTTAAACCCTTCCTATTCATGTACCCATTCCAGATGCCTTTTAAATGTTGCAATTGTACCACTCTCCACCACTTCCTCTGGCAGCTCATTCCATACACACACCAGCCTCTGCATGAAAAAGTTGCCCCTCAGGTCTCTTCTAAATCTTTCCCCTCTCACCTTAAACCTATGCCCTCTACTGATTTTATAAACCTTTATAAAGTCACCCCTCAGCCTCCGACGCTCCAGGGGAAAAAAAGCCCCAGCCTATTCAGACTCTCCCTGTAGCTCAAACCCGGCAATGTCCTTGTAAATCTTTACTGAACCCTTTCAAGTTTCTCATAGCAGGGAGACCTGAGCTCATGAGCTACAATATGGTGACGATGTGTCTTAAAGAGTTACTGACATACTACCTGGGACAGATAAGCATCCCAGACTGCCATGGGGATTTGGATTGTCTCACAGTAGGAGTGAATGGCCTCAGTGACAGTGTGCCACTCACCTGCGTTGAAATTGGGATTGAAGAAGTTGTTGAGGATCCATTTGATGCCATGCTGTCTCTGTTTCTCAGTGTGAAGGCTGTGGAGTTCTTCGACTGTCTGCCAGAACCGCAGTGGAGCTTCTGCATCATAGGCTTCCAGAAACCGCTGGAAGAAGAGGACAGCTGTCGGGTTCATCAGCAGATCCATCAGGTTCCTGCAAAGACACACAGCAGCTCAGAGACACCTCCAAAGCAGGCCCCACACTCACCATTAACTCATTACAACATCCCCATCAAACACTCCCTGCACAGGGACAGCACGGGGCTAGATACAGAGTAAAGCTCTCTCTCCTCTGTCCCCATCAAACACTCCCAGGACAGGGACGACACAGGGTTAGATACAGACTGAAGCTCCCTCTACACTGTCCCCATTAAACATTCCCAAGACAGGGACAGCACGGGGTTAGATACAGAGTAAAGCTCCCTCTACACTGTCCCCATCAAACACTTCCAGGACAAAGACAACATGGGGTTAGATACAGAGTGAAGCTCCCTCTATATTATCACTATCAAACATTCCCAGGACAGGGACAGCACGGTGTCAGATACAGAGTAAAGCTTCCTCTACACTGTCTCCCATCAACGTTAAAGTATAATAAGATGTGCTGATGTTATTTTGGTTCTTGGTTAGTTAGGCGCGAAATATGATCGGCAATTCAAAATCACCAAACAATGGGAACCGGTGACCCTCACTGATTGCTCAGAGATCACGATGCAAGCCCGGGGTCTTTCAGAACTCTGATTACAAGGGGAGGTAACAGAGTCCTACAGCCTGAAGCACGTCTCTGTGAGCTTCACGGGGCATTCTGAGCAAACAGTGGCACAGAACACCTGCAGGGACAGAGTTGGAGGCTCAGACACACGAGTGGGACTGTCATACCCTGATGCTCCATGCTCACAGCCTCACCTGGGCACTGTCTTGGGTCTGGTTATGATTTGGTTTCTGTCTTTTATGGATTTAAGGTTGAGCTCCTTCCACAGTTGGTCTCGTAAGGCCTCTCTATCAATCAGACCTGGGAGCGAAAATATCAGAGATTGTTATCAGGAATAACAACAGGAGAAACCAGCCTACTCACCCCCTGCATTGACTCTGTAAACCTGCCTCACTATTTAACACAGTGACTGATCCATCACAGTTTCAGCTTCCCACCATACCCAGGAATTTATGTTTGTAATGTGTCTAAATATCTCCTAAGCCCTGTCCTGCCTGAACACAATGACTGAGTATCCACAAGGTGGATGTGGAGTCGCAGATAGAAAGGACAGTGAAGGTGGTGTTTGGTATGCTTGCCTTTATTGGTCAGTGCATTGAGTATAGGAGTTGGGAGGTCATATTGCAGCTGTACAGGACATTGGTTAGGCCACTGCATACATTTCTGGTCTCCCTGCTATCGGAAGGATGTTGTCAAACTTGACAGGGTTCAGAAAATATCTGCAAGGATGTTGCTGGGGGTTGGAGGGTTTGAGCTATAGGGAGAGGTTGAGTAGGCTGGGGCTATTTTCGCTGGAGTGTCGGAGGTTGAGGGGATTCGTCAGAAGTTTATAAAATTATGATGGGCATGGATAGAGTGAATAGCCAAAGTCTTTTCCCAAGGGTAGGGGAGTCCAAAACTAGAGGGCATAGGTTTAAGACAAGACAGCAAAGACATTAAAGGGACCTAAAGGGCAACTTTTTCACGCAGAGGTGGTGCGTGTATGGAACGAGCTGCCAGAGGAAGTGGTGGAGACTAGTACAATTACAACATTTAAAACGGGTACATGAATAGGAAGGGTTTAGAGGGATATGGGCCAAATACTGGCAAATGGGACTAGATTAATTTAGGATATCTGGTCAGCACAGACGAGTTGGACTGAAGGGTCTGTTTCTGTTCTCCTCATCTCACTCCAAACTGGGCCTGAGTCTGTGACCCCGTGCTCCAGAGGCAACAATTCACAGAATCATAATACATCGGCCCATCGAGTCTATACTGCCGAAATTACATTAAATCTACACTAGTCAGTATTGACCGTCCAACTCTTTAGCAACTTGACAGAAGGCTATTGAATGTTGTGGAAGCAACAATGGGGAGACAGAGTCAGAATACAGATCAGACATGGTCTCAATGAGTGACAGAGCAGGGTCAAGGGGCCGAATGACCTACTCCTGCTCCCACAAGGGAAGAGAAGGAGCCTGAGGAGAGGATCCAGTGGAAGCATACAAAATCATGAGGCGTTTGGACAGTGCAGATGCGGAGAAGCTGTTTGCATTCAGAAATGGATCAGGAACCAGACGGCACAGGTTTAAAGCAATTTGCAAATGGAGCAAATACAAGGTGAGTGGTTTCCCACCCAGTGAGTGGTCCAGGTCTGGAATTCGCAGCCTGGAAGTGTGGTGGAGGCAGCTTCAATTGAGACATTCAAGAGGGGCATTGGATGGCTAAACAGAAACAACGCACAGGGTCACGGTGAAATGACAGGCGATTAGCACCGAGTTTTGATGCTCAGAGAGCTAGCACAGAGACAAGGGGCCAAGCGGCCTTCTTCTGCCCCAGCAATTTCTGTGAAAGATCGTGTTCTTCAGGAGGGGATGAAGAACATGACGTGTAGGGTTGGAGGATTCAGGCAGAGCACTACTTCTTTGGGGGCGTCTAGCTCTCTCGCATCCCTCACTGGCCCAACTCCTGGTTCCTGATCTATTTCCGAGTCCCAACACAAACCCTCAAGTCAGCCCCGAGCATGTCTGTGCTGGAGGTGGGCCCTTAGTATACAAGGGGCAGTGGATTCACCTCTTTGCTTGTAGGCCACAATTTCACCATGGTCAACCTTTATGTGTCCATCTCTGTGCTGTCCCATCCATGACCACTCTCCTGCTAGGGGTCACTTAACACACTCACCCTCGAACAGGAAAGTGCGATGTTTCCATGGGAGACGGCAGATTCCTCATCATCTAATTGGATGATCCTCATGAAGCAGCGAAACCTTCTCCCCCTGCAAGTTGGCCAGCATTCCCACTCCCTCAATCCTAAACTGGGCCTGGTTTTCTGTCAGGTTCAGGGTCGCTCTGCTGAATGACAATTGTTCGTTTGGTATCTTGATTTGGTTTATTATGGTCACATGCATCAAGATACAGTGAAAAGTATTGCTTTGTGCGCTATCCAGGCAAACCATACCTTACAGAAGTACATCAGGGTAATAGAACAGAATGCAGAATATAGCGTTACAGCTACAGAGAAGGTGCAGAGAAAGATCAACTCTAATAATGAGGTCCATTCATAAGTCTGATAATCCGCAGGGAAGAAGCTGTCCTTAAACCTGTTGGTATGTGTTTTCAAACTTTTGTATCTTCTGCCCGACGGAAGAGGGTGGAAGAGAGTATAACCAGGGTGGGAAGTATAGACGGAGTCAATGGAAGGAAGATTGGGCTTCATGATGGACAGGACTGCGTTTACAACTCTCTGAAGATTCTCGCGATTTTGGGCAGAACAGTTGCCATACCAAACTGTGATGCATCCAGATAGGATGCTTTATATGGTGTTACTATAAAAATTAGAGGGAGCCTTTATGGATGTGCCAAATTTCCTTAGCCTTCTGAGGACGTAGACGTGTTGGTGTGCTTTCTTGACTGTAGCATCGACGCTGATGGACCAGGACAGATTGTTGGTGATATTTACTCCTGGGAACTTGAAGCTCGACCACCTCCACCTCAGCCCCATTGATACAGACAAGGGTGTGTCCTCCACTCCACTTCCTCAAGTCGCTGACCAGTTTCTCCGTTTTGTTGATATTGAGGGAGAGATTGTTGTCTTTACAACATGCCACTACATTCTCTCTCTCTCCTGTGCTCTGTCTTGTTGTTGTTTGAGATCTGACCCACTATGATGGTGGCATCAGCAAATTTGTAAATGGAGTTAGAGCTGAATTTGGCCACACAGTTGTGAGTGTATAAGGAGTATAGAAAGGAGCTGAGTACACAGCCTTGTGGGGCACTGGTCCTGAGGATTATGGTGGAGGAGGTATTGTCGCCTATCCTCAGTGATCACAGTCTGCGGGTCAGGAAGTCGAGGATCCAGTCGCAGAGACGGGTGCAGAGTCCCAGGTCTCGGAGTTTGGAGCTGAGTGTTGTTGGAATTATGGTGTTGAAGGCGGAGCTCAAGTCAATAAATAGGAGGCAGGTGACCTCCTTGTTATCCAGATGTTCCCAGGGGTGAGTGTAGGACTGGGGAGATGGTGTCTGCTATGGACCTGTTGCGATGGTGGGCAAATTGTAATGGATCAAGACAATCTGGGAGGCTGAAGGTGATGTGTGCCATTACTAACCTCTCAAAGCACTTCATGATGATGGACGTCAGAGCCATCGGGAGGTAGTCATTAAGGTACGTTGCCTGACTTTTCTTTGGTACCATGACGATGGTGGTCATCTCGAAGCAGATGGGAACCTCAGATCGGAGTAAGGAGAGGTTAAAGATATCCGTGAATACTCCCACCAGCTGGTCCGCGCAGGATCTGAATTCACAGCCGGGGACTCCGTCTGGGCCAGTTGCTTTCCGTAGGTTCACCCTCAAGAAGGCCAATCTGACATCTGCAGCGGTGACTGTGGGTACAAGGTGTACCCGAGACTGTCGGGGGCAGGTGACATCATTTCACTGAGCTTCTGTTCAAAAGGAGCATAGAATACATTGAGCTCATTGGGGAGGGATGCAGTGTTGCCAGCGATTCTAATAAGACTTTGCTTTGTAGCCCGTAAGCCTTGCCACAAATGATATGTTTTCGTGTGATTAGTCTGGGATTCTAACTTATTCTGGCATTGTCTCTTTGCGTCCCTGATGGCTTTGCAAAGATAGTACCTAGATTTCGTGTAAAGGTCAGGGCCACCCAACTTGAGCACCTCACACTTGGGCTTCAGCAGGGAATGGATCTCGTGGTTTATCCATAGGTTCCTGTTTGGGAATATTCAGATTAAAATCCCTCTTCACAGCGCTGGACTGGAACAATTAGAAAGCTCAATAATCATGCCACAAAATTTTGAACCCAGTAGAATTCCATCCATTCAAGGTTCAGTCCTTAATGACTGCACCCAATTTTGACCCAGGTAGGAATGTCACAAAAGCAGCTCAGTATGAGAACAGGGAGCAGGAAGTGCGTATTCAATACATACCCAATGCTGCAGCTAATTGCAGCACAGATCCAGATGAGACTGGAGATGATTGGGTGATTACACCCCCATTTATCACCCACAGTGCTGTCTGCGAGCAGAATCATTGTCTTGACATCATTTGTCTTCCCACCACAAGCCTCCACACAAAGCACTGTGCTCGAGAAATAATCCTGTATTTATTGGGAGACAATGCTACAGTTTCAATCAGCAGTTCAGTTTTCTTTTTTGTTAGGCCTTCAGTATTCTTTAAATGGATTTTTTTCGCAATACTAACTGGACTCTTGTAGACTGTTTGCTGCAGTGTGCTGTTTAACAAGAATCCAGGCTGTTTAAATAGATGCTGCAGGCTGTAGTTTAAATAGTCTGTGTAGTTTAGCTGCTGTAGTGTACTGTTTAAGTAGACTTTAGGCTGTTTGCTGTTCTCTGCTGCTTAATTAGATGCTGTACATGATTGCCATAATATGTAGTTTATGTAGATTCTGTAGACTGGTTGCTGTAGTGTGCTGTTGAACAAGGCTCTGAGACTAGTTACCATAGTATGCAGTTGAAATAGATTCTGTAGACTGGTTGCTTCAGTGTGTAATTTAACTAGACTCCAAACACTGTGCACCGTAGTGCGTATTTAAATAGGATCTGCAGACTGGCTGCTGTAGTGTACTGTCCAGTGTGTAGTTCAACTGGACTCTGTAGACTGTAGTGTGCTGTTTAAGTAGACTTTAGGCTGTTTGCTGTCGTGTGCTTTTCATTTGAGCATGTAGACTGGTTTGCTGTATTGTGCTGTTTAACTAGACTCTAGACTGATTGTTGTAATATACTGTTTGAATAGACACTGTAGTCTGGTTGCTCCAGTGTTCTGATTAACTAGACACTCTGGCCTGGTTTCTATGCTATTTAACTGGACTCTATAGCCTCGTTACTGCAGTGTGCTGTTTCACAAGTCTCTACAGAATGCTCGCTGTAGTGTGCTGTTGATTAACAATCTGAGACTGGTTACTGTAGTGTGCAGTTGAAATAGACTCTGTAGGCTGCCTGTTGTTGTGTGTAATTTAACTGGACTCTGTAGACTGCTTGCTGTCGCGCATATTTAAGTAGACTGTACCCTGGTTGCTAGTGTCCTGTTTAACTAGGCACTGTAGACTGTTTGCAGTACTGTGTAGTTTAGCTAGACTCTGTAGAGTAGATGCTCCAGTGTCCTGTTTGACTGGACTCTCTAGCTGGTTGCTGTAGAGTACTGTTTAACCAGACTCTGTAGCTTCATTACTGCAGCATCTGCTTAACAAGACTCTATATGTTTGCTGTATTTGATTTATTATTGTTACATGCACCAAGATACAGTGATAAGTATTTTTTGCGACCTATTCAGACAAATCAAACTTTGCATAAGTACATCAGGGTGCTGTTGATTAACAATCGGAGACTGGTTACCGCAGCATGCAGTTGAAATAGGCTGTGTAGACTAGTTACTGTAGTGTGTACTTCAACTAGACTCTGTAGACTGGTTGCTGTTGTGTGCAGTTTAAATAGGCTCGGTAGACTGGCTCCTGTAGCGTATTGTTTCACTAAACTCTGTAGACTGGTTGCTGCTGTGTGTGATTTAACTAGACTCTGTAGAATGGTTGCTGTAGTGTGCAGTTTAAGTAGACTCTAGGCTAGTAGCTATAGTGTGCTGTTTACAAGGTCTATTTAATGTGCTGCTCAACTAGACTTTGTGGACTGGTGCTGTTTAAATAGACTATACACTGGCTGTTGTAGTGTCCCTGTTTAACTAGGCACTGTTGACTATTTGCAGTACTGTGTAGTTTAACAGGACTCTGCCACTGGGTGCTGCAGTGTACAGTTTAACTAGAATCTGTAGATTGCTGTAAAATTTGTTACTGACTTATTGGCCAACAGAATGGAGTTACTGGATAATGTGATCAAACTGTGTTACCTGCTGAAAAGGCAAATCCAATGATACAATACAATAAAGTAGCTTCATTTAGTCGGAGATCTATCCAGTGAGTTGATGGGACTGGTATTTTCCCATGTATGTACATACCCAGAAGGATCAACTTCTTGTAGTATTGCAGAAAGTTCTTGCTCAGTTCCTCAATCGCCAATTTCGGAAACTTCAGCGCTAGCTCCTGAAAGGACATATCCTTGATATCTGTTGTGAGGGTTAGGGGTCAGAGACAGAGAGATCAAACAGGAAGCAACAAGATCAATGACTCATTTCCAAACACAGGAGGTGGTTCTACGCCTTGAGTCTGTTCAGAGACTGTGAAGGACTGGTCAATAAGTCCATATCACATGATAACCCAACTCAGCACTGACAATCTCAAAGTTCCAACTCACATGGGAAAGCAGCTTTCAGCATGGACGTAGTTCCGCGTTATTAGTCTCGTGAGAAAGCAGTGAAATGCTCACAGGGAGCTCCAGATAAAGACTGGGAGCCCCAGCTCCAGATCAAGATTGGATGCGGAACTCCAGATAATGTAGGGGGCACTGACTCCAGGCAGTGAAGAGGAGCTGAAATCCTGGAGTAGAACTGGGTGCAGGAATTTGAGGTAATGATGGGGAGAATGAATACTGGAAAATAATCAGGAGCAGCAATTACAGATAAAGGTCAGGATCACATATTCTGGACAATGATTGGGACCAGGAACTCTGAGAATTGATTGAAAATTCAATCAATTCATTGTAGATAATAGCTGGAGTCTGGCACACAGGGTGACAATCAGGAGCAGGGAAGCAGGATAATGACTGGGAGGAGGGACACGGGATAATGATTGGGAGCTGGAATACGGAATAACGGTCAAGAGCAGGGAATGGGGTAATGATAGAAAGCAGGGACACAGGATAGTGATCAGAAGCAAGGAAACAGCATAACAATTGAGAGCAGGGGAGTGGGATAATGATCGGGAATGGGAGATGGGATAACGACTGGAAGCGGACAGCACGGGTTAATGATCAGGGTCAGGGAAACAGGATCACGATCAGGAGCATGGAATAATGATCGGGAACAAGGATTTGGGATAATGATCAGGAGTAGGGAAACAGGATAACAATTGGGAGCAGGGTAACTGTGATATAGAGATAATACCACTGCACTCACAATCTAGAGGCCCAGGTTAATGCTCTAAAGACATGAGTTCAAATCATCGATGGTTGTAAAAACCCACGCTCTGCACTATTATTCCTACAGGGATGGAAATCTGCCTTCCTTACCCGGTTTGGCCTACGTGTGACTCCAAACCCAGAGTAATGTGGCTGTCTCTCTGTTGCCCTCAGCAATGGCAGAACAAGGCCCAGTTCAATAAAGGACGGGCAAAAAATGCTGGCTGCCAATGGCACCAATTTCCCACATTCAAATAAACACCAACAGGTACTTTCACAATAAGGCACAACTGTCCACACCCACACACACACACACACCCACCCACTCACACACACACACCCACACACCAACACACCCACCCACACACACACACACACACACACATACACACAGCCACCCACACATACACACTCACGCTCACACACACACACCCCCACCCACACACACACCCCCCCACTCACACACACACACATCCACTCACACCCACCCACTCTCACACACACACACCCACCCACTCACACACAAACACTCTCTCTCTGTCTCTGTCTCTCCAGCTGCTCACATCTTCTCTGGCCATACTCAGGCTGACAACATTCTCAGAGACCACTGCCCAGGGTCAGATGAGAACAGAGATTGGGAATTAAAGTAGGATGACTCTCCTGGGTGTCTACAGTTCCATGGCTCAGCACACAGCGTGATTAGTCCCCAGTCGGGGGAGCTGGGTCATCTTTAAGCCTGTTTGAAGAGCGTCTTCATGCTTGCTATCGTCAATCGTGGGTTAAGAGCGCAGCGAAGCGCTAACCCAAACAGAGCGAGTGATCCAGCTGCAACACAGCTCTGGGCAAGGCCAGTCCTTCAGCGATTAACCCTTCTCCCAGACCTCGGGTAAACACTGGGTTGAGGCAACTTCAGCAAGACGATCAGGCTACTTTCCTCACAAACCAAAACTCAGTGCTGGGGCAATTCATAGTCAAGGGTTTGGAAACATCTCACTTTGACAGAAGGGCCTAGGCATCGTGCCACATCAATCCTCATCATCAATGATTCTGAGCTTCAAACACTCAAAGTAACAGGCTGAGAGCTGGGCCTGAGGAGGAAGAAACACTTGATAGACAGTGTTGTGGTGGGGGAAGCGGAAGGCACCTTGTGTTTATTGAACCATTCAAGAGCAAAAAAAAACAGATCATTCGGCCCGCATTGTTGCAGATGTCAGTCTGGATTCTGGTTCGTGTTTCTGTTCCTTTCACTGCCGCCTGCTGGTGGTTCTGTGTTGTTTCCGCCTACAAAAATAAACCAAGATGGCTTCAATCTCAATTTGCTGCAGCACTGTCTTTGCTAGTTTTCTAATCCTGCACCTCAGTGAAAACCCTGTCGGCCTTTGGCCTCCCATCTCAAAAGTGGCACATTCAAAAGAGCCGGGCCAGATCCAGACTGCTGTCCCCCTTCCCCATGATGCAGTGCGATAGGGAGTGCAGCATTGTCAGAGATGCCAAACTTCAAACAAGTCCTTAGACAGACAGGTTCTGCCTGTTGCCTCAGGTAGATCTGGGGGTGGAATTGAGAAGAGAGCAGTGGCGGGGGGGGGGGGGCGCTCTCCCCAGGAAACATTTATCCCACAATCCATTTCTGTGTGCAAATTGGCTGCCACTCTCTCTACGTTATGAGAATGACTACAGTTCAAAGACACTTTGCTGATTGCAAAAATCACTTTGCAACCTTTCGAGGTACGAAAGGTATCAATACAACCCCTTCCTCGATAGCTCCATGAAGAAAGGCTACAAAGACGGCATGTAATTGACAACTTATTCCCACTCAGTCCAGAGAGGCAACAATCTGCAGTCACCTAATTAGAAAGTAAAACTCTTAAAGAGCAAAGTCCTGCTAACATCAAATTCCTCATCAGCTGTCAACTCATGGCAAAGTAGAGAATGTCTAGCCTGAGTTTCCTAATTCCATCATTGGGAAGACTGTTTCCAGTATCAATTGGAGAGGCTGATGATCAGAAGAGGAGGACTTGCACATTGCGAGACTTTGAATAACTTACTGGAAACATCAGAATGTTTCTCTCTGCTCTTATCAAATGTGCACATCTTCACATTCAGTCTGACTGCTCCAACACAGGAATATTCCGATCATTTTTCCAATACTCCAACACTGGGATATTCTGGTGATGTTTCCGATAATCTACCACTGGGATATTCCAATCATATTTTCAATACTCCAACACGGATATTCTGATCACGTTTCTGATATTCCAACACTGGAATATTCTGACCATGTTTCCAATATTCCAGCAATGGGATATTCCAATCACATTTCCAATATTCCAACAGTGGGATATTCCGATCATGTTTCTTATATTCCAACATTGGGATATTCCAGTCATTTTCCCAAAATCCCAGCACTGGTATATTCTGATCATGTTTCCAATGTTCCAAAACTCTGATATCCGATCATGTTTCCAATATTCCAACACTGGGATTTTCCTGATCATGTCTCCAATATTCCAACACTGACTATTGTGTTCCAATATTCGAGCATTGGGATTAAGTGTTTTTGTTTCTATTATTTCAACACTGGGCTTCTCCCAATCTCATTTCTAATATTTCAACATTGGGATTTCCTTATAATTTCCTAGTATTCCAACTCTGGGATTATCCCTCTTGTGGTTCCAATATTCCAACACTTGAATTATCCCGATTACGCTTCCAATATTCCAATCCTGTGATTATTCTAATTCTGTTTCCAATATTCCAAATTGCGATTAACCTAATTCTGCTTCCAATATTCCAACACTGGGATCATTCTGGTTGTCTCTTACTGTTCCAGTTGTTGCCAAATCAGGTGCGGATTTAACAGGCAGTGATAGATCAGACGGCGTAATTCAAAGAGTGTATGAAATTACGATATACCAAAGGGGCTGGATTTTAAGCCAAAACTGCTTTCCACTCTGGAAATGCTGACTTTAATTTGTATCAAATCACATTGCTGTAGTTTGAAGAGGCTGATGAGCAAGAGGCAAGAAAACGATGAAGGCAAGTCCAAGGCTGGGTTAAAACCATGAGAAAAATGTACGGCTCCCTTTTTGAATAAGAGACATGAGGTGTGAAACAGGCGATGGAGAGGGCAGAAGGGAAGCTGGGTACGGAAAGCAGAGAGCATCGATGAAGAACTAGTGCAGGAAGTGGTCACATGACGTCACGCAAAAGGTATCGAAACCAGGCCACCCTGGCAGGTACGGGCAGGCAGTGATCAATGCCCCTCCGCGTGGGATAAGTACCCCCCCATCCCAACTCAGTCTGGCAGATGGAGAAAGGGTAGGGAGCAGGTAAACCGAGACTGACTAGTGCCCTGGTTGCATTTGAGATGGCTTCCCATGAGGCTTCTCAGAATCCAGCTCTCGTCCTGTCACACAGGCACGACATCAATATCAAACTGGCAGCGGAATGCTTTCAGCTTCAAAAACACGGATACCCATGATGGTGGTGATCAAGGGGGTGTTGGTCGGTTAGCTCAGTTGGCTGGATGGCTAGTTTGTGATGCAGGGTGGGTTCAATTCTCCCACTGGCTGAGGTCAACACAAAGGACTCTTTTTCTCCACCTCACCCCTAGTCCGAAATGTGGTGACCCTTGGGTTAAACCACCATCAGTCATCTCTCTCTCTCTCCCTCTCTAATGGGAGAACAGCCCTCTGGTGATAGAGACACAGGTCAGAGGCTAGGAATACCACAGCGAGCAACTCACCTCTTGACTCTCCAAAGCCTGTCCCACCATCTATAAGGCACAAGTCAGGAGTGTGATGGAATACTCCCCACTTGCCCACACGGATGCGGCTCCAACAACACACAAGAAGCTTGACACCATCCAGGGCAAAGCAGCCCACTTGATTGGAACACCCACAAACATTCACTCCCTCCCTTACTGACACTCAGCAACAGCAGTGTGTCCTATCTACAAGATTCACTGCAGAAATTCATCAAAGATCCTCAGACAGCACCTTCCAAACTCATGACCACTTCCATCTAGAAGGACATGGGCAGCAGATAGATGGGAACACCACTTCCTGCAAGTTCCCCTTCAACATGGGAATTAGGAGCAGAAGTAGGTAATACAGCCCTTTGAGCCCATTCTGCCATTTAACATGATCCTGACTGATCTCATCCTGGTCTCAACTCCACTCTCCTGCCTGCTCCCCATAGCCCTTTATTCTACTTTTCATCAGAAACATATCTGTTTTTTTCCTTGAATCTGTTGATTTATTCTCCACTGCACTCCGGGGCAGATTCACAAGCCTCTGAGAGAAGTTGTTTCTGCTCACCTCAGTTTTGAACCTAACTCCTCTCACTCCATATCTCTGACCTCTTGTTTGGGGCTGTCCCACAAGGAGGCACATCTGATCAACATCCACCTTATCAATCCCCTTTAGCATTTTACACACTTCAATCAGATCCCCATTCACGCTACTGAACTCCAGCGAGTACAAACCCAAGCTATTCAACTCATACAACAGCCCTTTCATCCCTGGAATCGATCTGGTGAACCTCCTCTGAACTGCTTCCAGTGCCACTACATCCTTCATCAAGTACGGAGACCAAAACTGGACACAATACTCCAGGTGCGGCCTCACCAATGCCTCACATAATTGTAACAACATTTCTTTTATAATCTTGTCCTTTTGCAATAAGTGCCAAGATTCCATTTGCCTATCTTATTATACGCTGCACCTACATAATCCATTTCTGTGATTCATGCACAAGGACGCCCAGATCCCTCTGCACTGACGCACTTTAAATCTGCTTCGTGCTTAAATAATCATTTGTCCTTGTATGTTTCTGGCCAAAATGAACAACCTCACACTTATTCACATTAAGCTCCATCTGCCAGATTCTGGCCCGTCTCCTAGCCTATCAATATCCATCTGTAAGCTCTTCATCTCCTCATCACTGCCTGCTTTTCCACCTATTTTAGTACCATCCACCAATTTTGCTATGTTATACTCTGTCCCTGCTTGCAGATCATTTATATAGATTACAAATATTTGAGTTCCTAGAACTGAACCCTGACGCACCCCAGTAGTTACAGTTCAACATCCAGAGAAGGACACATTTATCCCAACCCTCTGCTTTCTGTAAGTCGGCCAATCCTACATCCAAGCCAATAATCTACCCTTAACCCCCTGGGATCTAACCTTCTGGATTAGTCTGTTATGTGGCACCTTGTCAAATGCCTTCTCGAAGTCTAGATATATCACATCCACTAGATCCCCATTATCCACCTTGCTGGTTACATCCTCAAAGAACTTCAGAAAGTTTGTCAAGTTTGCCCTTCATGAAACCATGCTAACATTGATGAATTGAGTTTTCTTTTCCCCCCAAGTGTTCAATTACCTCCTCCTTTATGACTGACTCCAGCAACTTCCACACAACAAAGGTCAAAATAACTGATTCCCACTTTTTGCCTATCTCCTTTTTTTGAATAAGGAGTGATTTTACAGACAAGACACTAACCTGAATCAGAAATATATCGCCATTCCTTCATTGGCGCTAGTTCAAAACCCTGGAATTCCGTCCCTAAGGGCATTTCCTACAAATGGAATGCAGCGGTCCAAGAAAGCAGCTCACTACCACCTTCTCAAGGGCAACTAGGGATGGGCACGAAATGCTGGGCCAGACAGCGACGCTCACATTCCAGAAAACAATAAAAGTGCCCCCTCTCACCATAAACATCCTACTTTAATTCCCTGTTTCTGATGTCTTCAGATAATTGAGCGCCAACCATGAAGGAACCTGTTTCGAGAAACCCAGCCACAATGAGGGATTATAATGTTTGAAGAATTATTTCCCAATAAATAAGAATGCAAAAAAGTTCATTCTCATAAAAGGGAAATTAAACTGCCCAATGCCTGAACAAAGAACTCTACACATTAGGCTTGTTACAACAGTGAGATACACATCCTGCTGCAGATTCTCATTCAACACAATGTCTAATTTGTTGAGGTAAGTTTACACTGCTCAATCCTCAGCCACACTGGAATCTAAACAACCGAGAACCATTTTATTGCAGGCAGGGTCATGACTGATGAGAAAATGGACAATCAATGGCTTTTCAGCATTGAAGAAGCCCTTACATGGAATTGACGAATTAGGTGTGCTTCCTTAGAATCGACGGGGAGTGGGCCCACTTAGAAATGAATGTGTAGCTACCAAAATCATATTTGGAAAAAGGCTATCTATAATGAGAAATAATTAACCTGAGTATGAGTGGCCTCATTAAAAGAGAAAAGAGAAATTAGTTTTGCAGCTTAAGACACACTATACATTATGCATATATTAGTATGCAAGTACAACATGTAATCAAGATGACTAATTGGATGCTATTCTTTATACAAAGGGAATGGAATGTAAAAGTGAGGGCATTATACTTCAGTTATAAAGGGAATTGGTGAAATCACATCTTAAATACTATGTACAGTTGTTTTTAATTCATTCATGGGATGAGGGTGTCACTAGCTGGGCCAGCATTTATTGCCCATCCCTAATTGTTCAGAGGGCAGTTAAGAGTCAACTACATTGCTGTGGGTCTGGAGTCACATGTAGGCCAAACCAGGTAAGGATAGCAGTTCCCTTCCCTAAAGGACATTAGTGAACCAGATGGGTCTTCTCTCCCAATAACGGTTATCATTAGACTCTTGATTTCAGATATTTTTTGTCATTGAATTCAAATTCCACCATCTGCCATGGCAGGATTTGAACCCAGGATATTACCTGGGCCCCTAGATGAACAGTGCAGTGTCAATACCACTAGGCCACCGCCTCCCCGTGTCTAAAGCAGGCCACGGTTTGTGCTCCATTTCCTCTCACCGGTTTCTTTGGACTCCAGTCCTCTGAATATTTGCATGGAGCCCAGGCTGGTAATGTCCTCCCGAGCCACCCACTTCCAGTCTTCATCCGTCAGGGTCTCGGTGTCCCCAAGGACAGAGCATGCCTGTGCCAGGAGCAAGGACTGTGCCATCCGCCTGATGTAAATGTCGTCAGGCGGCGGGGGGTTTTTCTTACACTGCGTCCAGGCGTTCGGATCATTTGGTTTGGTTCCAGCCTTAAAAAACACAATCGCAGAATTATTACGGTGCACCATGCCTGCCCTGGTTCTATTTCTACAACCTACCTCCTGCTTCTTCCCCATATTCCCGCACACCTTTGCTATCCAAATGACCCTCTTGAAAGCCTCAATTGAATCTGTGTCCACTACATTTCCAGACCCATTCCGCAATCTATCCTCGTAGCTAATGCTTCTGATCCACGGAGCCATTCTAGTAATTCCCTGCTGCACTCTCTCTAACGTGGTACCCACGACTGTACACAATATTCTAGCTGAGATCGGGTACCCACGACTGTACACAATATTCTAGCTGAGATCAAAGTGTCTTATACAAGTTCAACATCACGTCCTTTCTCTTGTACTCTATGCCCCTATTAATAAAGCTGAGAACACTGTATGCTTTGTTTACTGCTGTCTCTACTTGTCCTGCCATTTACAATGATCTGTGCAAGTCCCTTAGATTGTAATAGATTGTACCCCCTATTTTATATTCTCTTTCAATGTTTTTCTGACGAAAAGTGCATCACATCACATTTCTCTGCATTGAACCTCATCTGCCACCTATCCTCCCACTCCACCAAATTGCCAATGTCTTCTTGGGGTTACACACAATCCTCCTCACTGTTTACAATTCTTCCAAGTTTTGCGTCATCTGCAAACTTGGAACAGCAAGATCCAGATTATTAATCAGAAGCACGAGAGATTGACTTTGGTGGTAACTTACCCACACAAAACCCGCAGAGAAACAAGCCTTTTATTGTCGGATTACATTTCACATTTGAACTGTCACATGGTCACGGGCCCGGGATTTTTGACACGGGCTGCACTAGCGCAGCGGAGACGTGACGGCTATGGGAAAGACAAGTTAAACAGAATGAGCCTGGTCTTCATTGAAACCTCTCCACAAGGCCTGTGGAGTGAGGGAGTTCCAATCTGTTATCACAGAGGAACTGGTCAGAGAAAACAGAAGTTTGTAAAGGGTTGCTGAGTGGAATATTTCTTGAGGAATCGCTAATGCAGTCAATTTAGGAGTGTCTTTGGATATTACCAAAGTGGATTTTCAGGAAGAATTATGCTTCCTCTTTACCACAGAGGGCTGTGGAGGCTGGGTCATTAAGGATATTCAAGGCTGAAATTGGTAATTTAATGATGGGTTATGGGGTTATCAGATCAGCCATGACCTCCCACTGCTCCAACATCTTATGGTCGCATTACAAGAATGAGAACTCATGGAACTGGAGGCAACCTATTGACTTAGATAGGGAACTAATTAAAGCTAAAGTCCCCATAGTCCTACTGGGCCATAGGACTCAGTGGAGAGAGAGAGAGACGACTGGTTGTGGTTTAACCTGAGGGTCACCACATCTCAGGCGACGGGAGAAGTTGAAAAGGAAAATCCTTCATGGTGATCTCAGCCGGTACTGGAACTGAACCCATGCTGTTGGCATCACAAACCCAGACATCCAGCCAACTGACATCCCAGTGTTGGAGTAGGGAAAGGCGATTGGAATATCCCAGTGTTGGAATATCGGAAACACAGTTGGAATATCCCAGTCAGAATATTCCAGTGTTGGAATAACGTAATAAAATTGATCAAATTCCCCTCAGTCTTCTTTCTCTGCGGAAGAGAGTCCCAATTCTCCAATCTACCTACAAGAATTTCTTATCCCTGCAAACCATTCTCATCAAACTCTTCTGCACTCACTCCAATCCCTTCACATCCTTCCTAAAGACCATCCCGGTAAATAAGTGGGCACAATTCTCCAGATGAGGCTGAACGGGTGTCTGTCACAAATTTAGCATCACCTCCTTGCTCTTGTACCCTGTTCTCTTTCTATGTTTGTACAAAAGTTACATTTCTCCATATAGAACTTCATTCATTATCTGTCTGCCCACTCTACCAACCCTCATCTTTTTGAAGTTCTTCGCTGTCCACACCACAGTTCACAATTCTTCCAGCTTTGTACAATCCGGAAACTTTGGAATTGTCCCCCAACGTACCAAGATTTGGATCATTAATATTTATCAGGAAAAGCAAGGCTCCTAAAACCAGCTCCTGGGGAACTCCATGGAAAACCTCCCTCCAGTTTGCAAAGCATCCATTGATCATTACTCTCTGTTCCCTGTCATTCAGTTCTGACCTTTACACCTCAGGAAGGAGATATTGGCCTTGGAGGGAGTGCTGCACAAATTCCTCGGAATGACCCCGGGATTAAAATGGTCGATTGAGGACAGGGGTTAGCATGGATTCGATTTGTATTCTCTGAAGCTTGGCATGATGTCAGGATAATCCAATCGAAGTGTTTAAGATGATTAAATGATTCAGTAGGGTAAATGGAGAGAAGCACCGCCCTCTACTGGAGGAGTGGAGAACAAGGGGCCAAATCTTCAAATCTGAGTCAATCAGAAAGCATGTAATCACAGAAAAGCAGCATAAACCTGGAACCCTGCACCAACAACACCTCCGCGCACCCCACCCCCATTGATGCTGGACATCCATTGAAAATTTTAAAACCAAGCTGAATTGATTCTTAAAAAGGTGAAGTTTTTTTGAGGTAGACTCCAGTTACATTTAAGATACAGACCAATCATATTCGAACTGAATGTTGGAACAGGTTTGAGGGGCCGAGTGGTTTCCTCGGGTCTGGTCACAATGAAGTAAGACAGTCTGCTTGGACAACTATCAGTAATGACTAATACAATGGACTGGACTCAATCAGGTACAACTCAAGCTGGCTACTGAGGGCTGACATCTGAGATCCTAGAACATCGGTCAGTGCAGGGGATCCTTTAGAGGGTGTTCACAGCCCAATCATCTTCAGTTAAAGACCACATGCTACCAGACATAGCACATTATAACAGTTTATACACACGGACATGACATGTAGTGTAAGGTATGGTAGAGTACAGTGTATGTCAAGTTTGGTTCTTAGATTCATAGAGTCATACAGGGCAGAAAAGGCCCTTCAGCCCATCGAGTCTGCACTGATGTAGCTACCACTAAAGGAATGCTAATCCTAATTTCCTGCACTTATCATAACATTCAAGGATATAGGACATTTCAAATGCTCGTCCAAATATTTTTTAAAGGTTGTAAGGTTTCCAGTCTCCACTACCTTCCCAGGCAGTGCATTCCAGATTCTGAGTGAAATGGCTTTTTCCCCTAATCTCCTCTGAATCTCCTACCCCCCTACCCTAAAACAATACCCTCTTGTGATTGACCCCTCAACCAAGGGGAACAGCTGTTCTGTATTCATCCTGTCCATACCCCCCCCATAACTTTATGTACCTCAACCATGTCCCCTCCCAGTCTTCGCTGCTCTAAAGAAAACAATCCAAGACCATCTACTCTCTCGTTATAGCTCAATTTCTCCATCCCAAGCAACATCCTGAACCTCCTCTGTATCCCTTCTAGTGCCATTACATCCTTCCTGTAGTGAGGTGGCCAGAACTGTACACAGTACTCCAGCAATGGCCTGAGCTACACTCTGTACAACTCCAACATTACCTCCTTGCTCTTATAATCTATGCCACGACTGATGAAAACAAGTGTCCCATATGTCTTCTTAACTATCCTATTAATATGCTCTGCTGACTTCAGGGATCTGTGAATAATTACCTCAAGATCCCTCTGTTCCTGTAAGCTACACAGTGTCCTAACATTCATTAAATACTTCCTCATCTTGTTTCTTCTTCCAAAGTGCATCATCTCACACTTATCAGGGTTAAATATCATCTGCCACTGCTCTGCCCATCTGACCATCCCATCTATACCTTCCTGTGACCTACAACCATCTTCTTCACTATTAACTGCTCTACCAATCTTGGTGTTGACTGCAAATTTGCATAACCGTCTCCTCACATATTCATCGATATCATTTATGTGTACAACAAACAATAAGGGTCCCAGTACGGATCCTTGTGGTACACCAATGGACACTGGCTTCCAGTCACTCAAACAGCCTTCTACCACTACCCTTTGTGTCCTATTACTAAGCCAGTTTCTGATCCATCTCACCAAGTTTCCCTGAATTCCATAAGCTTTAACCTTCTCAATCAGTCTCCTTTATGAGACCATATCAAAAGCTTTGCTAAAATCCCTATAAACCACATCAACTGAACTTCCCTCATCCACACACTTGATTACATTTTCAAAACAACCCAACAAATTTCATGAGCATGACCTCCCTCTGTCAAAGCAATTCCGACTATTCCTAATTAACCCATGCCTTTCCAAGTGGGTATCAATTTCCTCCTTCAGAATTTTCTCCAAAAGTTTTCCTACCACTGATGTGAGAGTCACTAGTTTGTAACTTCCTAGTTCATCTCTACCACCCTTCTTGAAAAGTGGAATCACATTAGCTATCCTCCAGTCCGCTGGCATGTCCCCCATGGCCAAAGAGGAATTAAAATTTTGTGTCAGAGCCCCTGCAATTTCCAGCCTCACCTCCCACAGCAGCATGGGATGCAGTTCAGTTAAGCCAGGGGATCTGTCTGTTTTAAAGCCCAATAGAACCTCTAATACCTCCCCATTTCTGATGTCAAACTGTGCAACTTCCTCACAGTCCCTTTTCCTGAATTCCGTACCTGACTTCTCCTTTTCCAAAGTGAGAACCAAAGACAAATATTAATTTAACAACATCCTGCACCTTCACACACAGGTTGCCCCTTTGGTCCGTAATGGGTCCTACTCTTTCCCTGGTTAACCTCTTCCCCTTAGTGTATTTATAAAATATCTTAGGATTCTCCCTAATCCTGTTCACAAGTTCTTTTTTGTGTCGCCCTCTTTGCTCTTCCAATTGCTTTCTTACATTCCCCCCTGCTCTTCCTGTATTCCTCTAGGGCCACAGCTGCGTTGCTCCTTTTGGACTTACTAAAAGCCCTTTATTTCCTCTTTATCCAGTCTTAAATCGTCTTAGACATCTAGGGTTCTCTGAACTTACTGCTCCGGCATTTCCCTCTAAAAAGGTTGATGTTGGCGTTGTACTCTCCCCAGCTCCTTTGTGAATGTCCACCCCCCACCCATTGCTCCACTGTAGACCTCCCTCCCTGCAAGGATCCCAGTCTACTGTGGGCAGATCCTGCTTTATTTTAATAAAATATGCCTTCCCCCAATCCAAAGCCAACTTTTGCAGGCCATTTTTTTCCTTGTCCAGAACAAATTTGAACCATACCATGTTGTGTTCAGTTTCACCTAAATGTTCTCCCAATGCCACACTGAATTGCCTGGCTTCTTTCCCCAGAACCAGATCCAACACCACACTGTCCCTTGTTGGGCCTTCTACATATCGATACAAAAAACTCCCCTTGATACATTTCGAGAAATCCGCCACCTCTAAACCCTTAACACTATGACTATCCCAATTTGCTGAGAAAGTGAAATCTTTTGTTTTCCTTGATTCATTTACGGGATGAGGACGTCACTGGCTAGGCAGCATTTATTGCCCATCCCTAATTACCCAGAGGGCAGCTAAGAGTCAACCACATTGCTGTGGGTCTGGAGTCACATGTAGGCTAAACGAGGTAAGGATGGCAGTTTCCTTCCCTAAATGGCATTAGTGAACCAGATGGGTTTTTCCAACAATCGACAATGGATTCATGGTCATCATTAGACTCTTAATTCCAGATATTTATTGAATCTAAATTCCACCATCTACCATGGCGGGATTTGAACCTGGGTCCCCAGAATATTATTTGGGTCTCTGGATTAACAGTCTAGCGATAATACCACTAGGCCATCACCTCTCCCATATCCCCTTATGTGCTCCTCTATTTCCCACTGACTCTTTGGGAGCATATAATACACTCCTGATACAGTAGCTGCCCGATTAACATTCCTAAGTTCTACCCACAAAGCCTTGTTTGAGGATCCTTCCAAGATATCATCTCTCCGTATTGCAGTAATTGACTCAATAACTAATGGTGCTACAGAACCACGCTTTTTACACCCTCCTCTGTCTCGCCTAAAGATCCTCTATCCTGGAATGTTAAATTGCCAGTCCAGCGCTTCCTTCAGCCATGTTTCTGTGATGGCAACAATATCATACTTCCATGTGTCAATCCCTGCCATTAACTCCCCAGTCTTACCTATTACACTCCTATCATTAAAGACCATCCATCCTTGCCTTACTCTCTTGACACTCAACATAAGCTGAACTCACTCTGAATTGCTTCCTTAGCTGTAACTGGATGTATCTCTGTTCATCAATGTTCTGTGTCCCGTCTCGCTGCAACTCCTCCCAGCAGCACTAACAAACCTACCTGCAAGGATGTTGGGCCCAATGTGATTCGAGCGCAGACTGTCCCATGTGTACATGTCCCACCTTCCCCAAAACCCAGTCCCAGTGATCCAGGGATCTAAAACCCTCCCTCTTGCACCAACTGTTGAGCCACGCATTCACATGTCCTATTTTCCTATTTCTATACTCGCTAGCACGTGGTGCTGGGAGTTTTCCAGTCATTACAACCATTGAAGTCCTGTTTTTTAATCTACTGCCTATCTCCTTGAATTCTTGATGGGTGGGTAGGGTTTGAGATAGGGGAGGGTGCACATGGGGTAGGAAAGGGGATTAAATGGGTGGGTAGGGTGTGTGATAGGGGAGGGTGTTCATGGGGTGGGGCAGGGGATTAAATGGGTGGGTAGGGTGTGTGATAGGGGAGGGTGTACATGGGGTGGGGAAGGGGATTAAATGAGTGGGTCAGGTATGTGATAGGGAAGAGTGTAGATGGGGTGAGGAAGGAGATTAAATGGACAGTTGAGAGGTATGTTTACAGGGATCATACTGATCTTATTTCCTGCTGAGTTTAAACTGAAATACAGCTAAGAGGTACTGAGGCCCAGTACCCCAGCCCTGCCCTCCTCCGTTTACAAACTTGTGCTCTGCTAGTAACATCATGCGCAGGTTTAATCAAAGAATTTCTCTCAATCTTACCACAAGATGTAGAAATCTCTGATCGTCCTGATCCAGAAAAGCATCGTATGTGTCTCGGAGTATCTGGGGAAAGATGAGATGTTGTATTGTCACTCAGGTAATTTAATAATACATCCAGCCTCTGCAGAAAGACCCTCAGTCAGACTCCGTTTTGTGGCTGTCTTCACATTGGAATGGGGGGGGGGGGTGGTTCAAGAACCTTCCCAGTCTTTCCTGGGATGTGAGTATTGCCCCCTTGAAGTAAGGGGTTCATCCTGCCATTTCAGAGAGCAATTAAGATTCAATCACATCGCTGTGGGTCTGCAGTTACACATAGGCCAGATGAGGTAAGGATAACAGATTTCCCTCGCTAAAGGATGTCAGTGAACCTGATGGGATTTACAACAATTCACCGTGATTCCCTGGTTACCATTACTCTAACTTCTTTAATTCCAGATTTATTATCTAAATTCAAATTTCACCATCTACCAAGGCTGGGACTTGAAGCCTCGTCTCCATCCTGTATCCATGGATTGCCAGTCCCATGATAGCACCATAGAATTATGCAAAACAGGAGGCCCTTCAGCCTGTCGAATCTGTACTATGAAACTACTCTAGTCCCACTTTCCAGTTCTAGACCCATTGCCTTGAATGTTATGAAATTTCAAGTGCTTGTCCGAGTACTTTTTAAAGGTTGTGAGGTTACCCGCCTCAGCTACTCTCCCTGGCAGTACATTCCCACCGCATCCTGGGTGGAAAACCTTTTCCTCAAAAGTCCTCGCAACCTCTTGCCTTTCACCTTAAAATTATACCCTTTATTATTGACACTTAACTATGGGAAACAGTTGCTTTCTACTCACCCATGTCCCTCATAACCTCTCACACTTCTATCAGAACCCTTCCCTGCTCCAAAGAAAACAACCCGAGCTTACCCAGCCTCTCTTCACATCCGAAATGCTCCATCCCAGGCAACATCCTGGTGAATCTCCTCTGCACCATCTCCAGTGCAATCACATCCTTCCTATAGTGCAGTGACCAGAACTGCACACACTGCTCCAGCTGTGACCTCATTAACATTGAAGACAGCTCCATCACATCCTCCCTGCTCTTACAGACTATGCCTCAACTGATAAAGGCTAGTGTCAGTGGCCTTAAATCCCCTATTAACCTGTCCTGCCCACTTCAGTGATCTGTGGATGAGCACACTATGATCCCCCTGTTCCTCTGAGCTTCCTAGTTTCCTGCTATTCATTGAGTACTCCTTTATCCTGTTCCTTCTTCCAAAGTCCATCACCTCATGGTTATCAGGCTTAAGTGCTATGCTACCATCGCATTGAGGTAAGTAGGGAGGATTGACATGTTGAAAAGTTTTCTGTTGAACAGTCATTTTTTCCTGTATGACTCACAGGAAAAGGCTTGATGGTAATGGCTATTGACTGGCAAGCAAGCAGGGGTGTGCTGTACCATCCTATACTGACATTGGTAGCAGTTGTTTACAATTTACATAGACGATTTGGAGTTGGGGACCAAGTGTAGTGTGTCACAAAGTTCACAGATGACTCTACGATGAGTAGTACAGCAAAGTGTGCAGAGCACATTGAAAGTCTGCAGAGGGATATAGATAGCTTAAGTGAATGGGTAAGGGTCTGGCAGGTGGAGTATGATGTTTGTAAATCATAGAAAATCATAGAATCCCTACAGTGTGGAAACAGGCCATTCGGCCCAATAAGTCCACACCGCCCTCCGAAAAGCATCCCACCCGGACCCATTCCCCTAATTTCCCACGTCTAACCCACCTAACCTAAATATCCCTGGGCACTATGGACAATTTAGCATGACCCATCCACCTAGCCTGCACATCTTTGGACTGTGGGAGGAAACCGGAGCACCCAGAGGAAACCCACGCAGACACGGGGAGAATGTGCAAATTCCACACAGACAGTTGCCAGAGGCTGGAATCGAACCCGGGTCCCTGGCGCTGTGAGGCAGCAGTGCTAGCCGCTGAGCCACTGTGCCGCCCCAATGTAAATGTGGGGTCATCCATTTTGGTAGGAACAACAGCAAAATGGACTATTATTTAAATGGTGGAAAATTGTAGCATGCTGCTGTGCAGAGGTACCTGGGTGTCCTTGTGCATGAATCACAAAATTTTGGTTTGCAGGTACAGCAGTGTAATTAAGAAGGCAAATGGAATATTGTCTTTCATTGCTGGAGGGAAGGAGTTTAAAAATAGGGAGGTTATGCTACACCTGTATAGGGTGCTGGTGAGGCCACATCTGGAGTATTGGTCTCCTTACTTGAGAAAGGATGTACTGGCACTGGAGGGATGCAGAGGAGGTACACTAGGTTGATTCCAGAGTAGAGAGGATTGGCTTATGAGGAGAGACTGAGTAGACTGGGACGATATTCATTGGAATTTAGAAGAATGAGGAGGGATCTCATCCATACATAGAAAATTATGAAGGGAATAGATAAGATAGAAGCAGGGAGTTATTTCCACTAGCGGGAAAAACTAGGGGACATAACCTCAAAATAAGGGGGAGCAGATTTAGGATTGAGTTGAGGAGTAATTTCTTCAACCAAAGGGTTGTGAATCTATCGAATTCTCTGCCCAGTGAAGCATTTGAGATTACCTCATTGTTTATCTTTGCCTTAAAAACATTCAGAGTCATACAATCATACAGCTGGACAGCATAGAAACAGACCCTTCAGTCCAACTCGTCCATGCTGACCAGATATCCTAGATAAATCTAGTCCCATTTGCCAGCATTTGGCCCACATCCCTCTAAACCTTTCCTATTCATGTACCCATCCAGATGCCTTTTAAATGTTGTAATTGTATCAGCCTCCACCACTTCCTTTGGCAGCTCATTCCATTCACGCACAACACTCTCCATAAAAAAGTTGCCCTCAGGTCCCTTTTAAATCTTTCCCCTCTCACCATAAACCAATGCCCTCTAGTTTTGGACTCCCCCAACCCAGGGAAAAGACCTTGTCTATTTACCCTATCCATGCCTCTCACGATTTTAATAAACCTCTATAAGATCACCCCTCAGCCTCCGATGCTCCAGGGAAAATAACCCCTGTCTATTCAGCCTCTCCCTATAGCTCAAACCCTCCAACTCTGGGAACATGCTTGTAAATCTTTTCTGAAACCTTTCAAGTTTCATAACATCTTTCCTATAGCAGGGATACCAGAATTGAACACAGTATTCCAAAGGTGGCCTAAACAATGTCCTGTACAGCCGCAACATGACCTCCCAACTCCTATACTCAATGCACTGACCAATAAAGGCAAGCATACCAAATGCCTTCGTCACTATCCTGTCTACCTGTGACTCCACTTTCAAGGAACTATGAACCTGCACTCCAAGATCTCTTTGTTCAACAACACTTCCCAGGACCTTATCATTAAGTGTATAAGTCCTGCCCTGATTTGCTTTTCCAAAATGCAACACATTCACCTCAATTAAACTCTATCTGCTGCAAATCTGAAAGGCAAAATTTACAACCGCACAGCACTCCTTCTGACCCATCTGATCAAGATCCCTCTGTACTCTGAGGTAACCTTCTTCGCTCTCCACTACACCTCCAATTTTGGTGTCATCTGGAAACGTACTAATCATAGCTCCTGTGTTCACATCCAAATCATTTATATAAATGATGAAAAGCAGTGGACCCAGCACTGATCCTTGTGGCACACCACTGGTCACAGGCCTCCAGTCTGAAAAGCAACCCTCCACTACCACCCTCTGTCTTCTACCTTTGAGCCAGTTCTGTATCTAAATAGCTAGTTCTCCCTCTATTCCACGTGATCTAACCTTACTAACCAGTCTACCATGAGGAACCTTATCAAAAGCCTTTCTGAAGTCCACATAGATCACATCCACCACTCTGCCCTCATCAGTCCTCTTTGTTACTTCTTCAAAAAAACTTAATCAAGTTAGTGAGACATGACTTCCCGCTCACAAAGCCATGTTGACAATCCCTAATCAGTCCTTGCCTTTCCATATACATGTAAATCCTGCCCCTCAGGATTCCTCCAACAACTTGCCCACCACCGATGTCAGGCTCACTGGTCTAGAGTTCCCTGGCTTTTCCTTACCATGTGTCTTAAATAGTGGCACCACAGTAACCAGCCTCCAGTCTTCCGGCACCTCACCTGTGGCTATTGATAATACAAATATCTCAGCAAGGGGTCCAGCAATTACTTCCCTAGCTTCCCACATAATTCTAGGGTACACTTGATCTGGTCCCAGGGATTTATCCACTTTAATACATTTTAAGACGTCCAGCACCTCTTCACTGATGCAGAATTCTCATTTATTATCCTCCCCATCTCCTGCAGTTCCACACATAGACAGCCTTGCTGATCTTTAAGGAGCCCTGTTCTCTCCCTAGTTACCCTTTTGTCCTTAACGTATTTGTAGAATCCCTTTGAATTCTCCTTAACTCTATTTGCCAAGGCTATCTCATGTCACCATTTTGCCCTCCTGGTTTCTGCCTTAAGTATACTCCTACTGACCTAATGTGCTTTTAAGTATTCACTCAGTCTCTGCTATGTGTACTTGACATATGCTTCCTTCTTTTTCTTGACCAAAATCTCCATTTCTCTAGTCATCCAACATTCCCTACAGCTACCAGCCTTGCTCTTCACCCTAACAGGAACATACTGTCTCTGGACTCTCGTTATCTCATTTTTGAAGGCTTCCCATTTTCCAGCCATTCCTTTACCCACAAACATCCACCCCCAATCAACTTTTGTAACTTCTTGCCTAATACTATCAAAATTGACCTTCCTCCAAATAAGAGATCAACTTTTAGATCTTCTCTATCCTTTTCCATCACCATTTTAAAACTAATAGAATTATGGTCACTGGCCCCAAAGTGCTCCTCCACTCACACCTCAGTCACCTGCCCTGCCTTATTTCCCGAGAGTAGGTCAAGTTTTGCACCTTCTCTAATAGGTATGTCCACAGACTGAATCTGAAAATTTTCTTGTACACACAACAAATTCTTCTCTATCCAAGCCTTTAACAGTATCGTAGTCCCAAGTCTATGGAAAGTTAAAAATCACCTACCAT